ACCAAAATACACTTACAGAAGAATTTGTCTTAATCTGCTTGTTAATAGTAAGCACAAAATCTTATCATTTTACTGAGAAGGAAGTTGTTGAGAGGTAGTATTTGAAGCATTGTATGTCTTAACCTTTAATGAACACATTTCTATTCCATGAAACCAAAACAAATTGCAAGAATTCCTTGACATTAGGTTCCTAAAAATGTAAGAACAGACCCAGAGCAAATAGTAATTCTAGGAGAAAGATAAGGAGCTGTTCATTCATGTAAATTTTAAACATAACTTACCGATTTTTGTTACTATGGTGCTTAAATACCTTCTACAGCAGTCCTTGTTGGGTGATTTCAGTTTCAGCTACAGAGTTATACTTCCAAGATCTATATCTCTTTGTAACCTCTAACAACTTATTTTATTTCCCAGAGCCTGTATACTTTATTACTCATATTGCTGTACTAATTATTTTTAGTACAATTTTCACTCAGTGAGGAATTATGTGAAAATGCAGGACTTTGGTCTTTAATAAAAATTGCAAAAAGTAAAATGTTTCTATCTCCTTAATGCCCTTTGAAACTATGATACAAGGAATTAATGGGTAGTATATACCGAGAATATACCAGTTAAAGGTCTTGGCTACACTTGCGAGTTGCAGTGCTGTAAAGCTGTCCCACGCGCTGTAACTCACTCCCCGTCCACACTGGCAGGGCACTTACAGCGCTGTATCTCCCTGGGTACACCGCTGCAGGTACTCCACCTCCCCAAGAGGAATAGCGTGTATTGCGCTGCGGCGCCAGTGTGGCCGCCCATTGTGCTGTGAATGGCCTCCAGAAGTATTGGACAGTATCCCACAATGCCAGTTCTAGCCACTCTGGTCAGCAGTTCAAACTCTACTGCCTTGGCCTCAGGTAACCGACCATGTGACCCACCCTTTACATTCCCCGGGAATTTAAAAAAATCCCCTTCCTGTTTACTCAGCCCGGCGTGGCGTGGAGTGCTATCAGCGAATCTTTCCAGGTGACCATGCCTTCACGCGCCAAGCGAGCCCCAGCATGGAGCAATGGCGAGTTGTTGGACCTCAGCAGTGTTTGGGGGGAGGAAGCGGTACAGTCCCAGTGCGCTCCAGCCATAGGAATTACGATACCTTTGGGAAGGTATCAAAGGACATGATGGAAAGGGGCCATGACCAGGACGCCCTGCAGTGCAGGATTAAAGTGAAGGAGCTGCGGAGTGCCTACCGCAAAGCCCGCGACGCAAACGGCCGCTCGGGTGCTCCCCCCGCGACCTGCTGATTCTACAAAGAGCTGGATGCGATACTTGGTGTTAACCCCACCTCCACTCCAAGCACCACCATGGACACTTCAGAGCCGGGGTGGGAGGGGGAGGAGGAGGAAAACGGGAGTGAGGGTGGTGGGCCGGATGGAGACACCCCGGAATCCCTGGAGGCATGCAGCCAGGAGCTCTTCTCAAGCCAGGAGGAAGGTAGCCAGTCGCAGCGGCCGGTACTTGGTGGAGGACAAACAGAAGAGCAGGTTCCAGGTAAGCGGGTTTTTTTTCTGGGAAGGAATTTTTTCGGTGCGGGCTCTTTGGGAGAGGAGGGTTAGGCATGCATGTCTAGATGCGGAATAGTGCATTGATGTGGTTTATCTCATCGCGGTAATCGGCCTTGGTAATCTCGAATGTCTCATCCAGAACGTGTGCAATGCGCTTGCGCAGGTTTATCGGGTGAGCCACCGTGGTCCTTGTCCCAGCCAGGCTAACGTGTCCGCGCCACTGTGCCACAAGGGGTGGGGGGACCATTGCTGCACACAGGCAAGCTGCATATGGGCCAGGGCGGAAGCCGCATTGCAGTAGAAGACCCTCCCTTGCTTCCCAGGTCACCCTCAGCAGCGAGATATCGTCCAGGACGAACTCCTGTGGAAAATGTTGGGACAGTGTTCAGTGTAGCTGCCCCCTGAAGCTGTTGGCTCTCCCCAAGGCACAGAAACCCAGAGGACAGTGCAGCCCTGAAACAATCAGTCCCCCTTACTCACCATTTTGAGGCTCCCGTGGGATATGTGTGCTCTGTTTCGGACGGGAAAATTATGCGATTGTGTAGACCCTGTGTGTTTTCTAATCCTTAAGTGTGGGGGAATCATTACTCTGTCTGGTATAAACAATGCTGCCTCGGTTAAATGTTGCATTTTGCCTATACAGCAGCATCAATCTTGAGACCTCAGCCGTCCCTCTTATCGCCTGCTCAGAGACTGCAAAGACTCAGGAAGAGACCGCGAAAAAGCAAAGAAGACATGCTGCAAGAAGTGATGCGGCAATCTATTAAAGAGACTGAGAAAGCACAGAACTGGAGGGAGAGAGAAAGCAGGATCCGCCAGGAAAACGCAGTGCACCGGCGGCAAAGCACGGATTGGATCATAAGCATCCTGGAGCGCCAAGCAGATGCTATCCAGGAGCTCATAGCCATGCAGAAAGAGGAGCAGTACCGCAAACGCCACCTCCCCCTACAGCCCTTGTCCCAAAACTCTTTCCATTGTGCCCCACTGTCACCTCTAACCCACTTTCCCCAACTTTCGTGTTCTTCACGCCACCCGCTGCCTCCAACACCAGTATCTTCACCACCCAGCCCTGAAAACCACGACCCTTACCCTCTGCACTCAACCCCCATCACCATGCAGTATAGCTATCCTGAGGTGCAGCACTCACTGCACAGCACACCAGACAGGACATACGCGAATCTGTGATTGTACCGTTCCCCACTCCACCCCCTTGTTTCTTTTCAATAAATTTTTTTTTCTTTTCAGTAAATGGATTTTTTGGCTTTGAAAACATTCTTTATTATTGCGTAAAGTAAAAGACTCCTTAGCCCAGGAAATAAACAGGCACTGCAAGTCTGCTTGTCTGCTTAGCAAACACTGATTCCTAAAGATTGGAACTACTGCACTTCACTCCCGAGCAGGGCACCAGATATCACCGCTGGTTTTCAGTCTCAAATTGCTCCCTCAAGGCATCCCTAATCCTTGCAGCCCCACGCTGGGCCCCTGTAATAGCCTTGCTCTCTGGCAGTGCAAATTCAGCCTCCAGGTGTTGAACCTCGGAGGTCCATGCCTGCGTGAAGCTTTCACCCTCCCCTTCACAAATATTATGGAGGGCACAGCACGTGAATATAACGGCGGGGATACTGTTTTCGGCCAAGTCCAGCTTTCCATACAGATATTGCCAGCGGCCCTTTAAACGGCCAAAGGCACACTCCACAGTCATTCGGCACTGGCTCAGCCTGTAGTTGAACCGTTCCTTGCTGCTGTCAAGGCTTCCTGTGTAGGGTTTCATGAGCCACGGCATTAATGGGTAAGCGGGATCTCCAAGGATCACAATGGGCATTTCGACTTCCCCTACCATGATCTTCCATTCTGGGAAAAAAGTCCCGGCCTGCATCTTCCTGAACAGCAAGTGTTCCGAAAGATGCGTGCGCCATGCACCTTTCCGGGCTAGCCTGTGTTAATGTCCATGAAACGTCCACGGTGATCCACAAGCACCTGGAGAACCATAGAGAAATACCCCTTCCGATTAACGTACTCGGAGCCTAGGTGGTGTGGTGCCAGAATAGGAATGTGCGTCCCATCTATCGCCCCTCCACAGTTAGGGAACCCCATTTGTGCAAAGCCATCCACTATTTCCTGCACGTTACCCAGAGTCACAGTTCTTCTGAGTAGGATGCGATTAATGGCCTTGCAAATTTGCATCAACACGATTCCAACGGTCAACTTTCCCACTCCAAACTGGTTTGTGACCGACCGGTAGCTGTCTGGAGTTGCCAGCTTCCAGATTGCAATAGCCACCCGCTTCTCCAGTGGCAGGGCAGCTGTCAATCTCGTGTCCTTGCGCCGCAGGGTGGGGGCAAGCTTCTCACACAGTCCCATGAAAGTGGCTTTTCTCATCCGAAAGTTCTGCAGCCACTGCTCATCATCCCAGACTTCCATGACGATGTGATCCCACCACTCGGTGCTTGTTTCCCGAGCCCAAAAGCGGCGTTCCACGGTGCTGAGCATGTCCGTGAATGCCACAAGCAATTTCGTGTCGTTTGCGTTACGTGGCTCGATAGCATCGTCGGATTCCTCACTCTCACTGTCACTTTGGATCTTAAGGAATAGTTCGACAGCCAAACGTGACGTGCTGGTGAGATAAGTCAGCATACGCCTCAGCAGTTCGCGCTCCATTTCCCGCAGACAGATCGCGCTGCACAGAAACCGTTGAAAGATGGTGGCGCCAGAGGTGGACGGAAACAAAGGGATTTCTGGGATGCGAAGCGATGCATCACGGGGCGTTGGGACAGGACCCAGAATGCCCCGCACCTATGCCCCCTTCCCACAACACACTGCGCCAGAATGGGAAGAGGTGCTCTGTGGGATAGCTGCCCATAATGCACCGCTCCCAATAGCGCTGCAATTGCTGCAAATGTGGCCATGACCGTGCGTTGGGCAGCTGTCAGTGTGGACAGACTGCAGCGCTTTCCCTACTCAGCTGCACGAAGTCAGGTTTAACTCACAGCGCTGTACGTCTGCAAGTGTAGCCAAGGCCAAAATGTCTTGTTACCCTTAACCAAACTGTAGTGTCCCCTCATGCAATCAGTGGAGAATATCTAAATCCCTTTTCATAGCAGATTCTCGACGAATTAGCAGCTTTCTTCAGGTTTGTCATACAATGAAGATTTTTATTAAGGCCATTAAGTCATATTGTGCGGATTTTGCCTTAGATTCTGAAGGCGAAATGGATTATAATAGTGTGATCTTTTTTTAAAAAGATCAATCTTACAGGTCGACGAGTGTTGATTCTACTGTAAGTTTCTGCAGTCTGAGGCACACACATGATAGTATTCTATCAAAAGGAATGCTAACTTCTTGGTAATGATGCAGAATTTGAACAGAAGTTCCTCAGAGTAGGAAACTGCACAGAACATCTGTTCACAAATAATTAGCGCATGCTAGAGGAGTTGGGCATCCTAAACACTAAGATGAATCTCAGTTCTTCTCAATGCTACAGTTGATTGCACTTTGCAGTGCAGACAGCCATGTAAATTTATCATCTTCATCCTCTATAGAACAAATCCATTGGCGTTTTGGGCTTTGTAGAATAAATGCATTCTTGATATCTGTTAGTGTGTAAAAAAAGAAAAAGGCTTTAGTGTATTAACTGCTCTTGACCACTAGGTTATCTAAGGAATAGGTGGTAGAGTTTCATAGAATCTTGCAAATAGCTTTACTCTTAAATTCTGACTTCCAATGGTTTAAGGACATAATGAATAGCAAAAAATACTTCTGCTTGTCTGATTTAAGAGTATGTGGGGCTGGTCATATGGGAAGCCCATAGAATACAGCCCACAAAGTGAGGTAGATATCACAGGGGAGACACTGGACAGTGTTAAGTTATGTTTTTAGGCATCATGTTTGCTAAAAGTTTGAAATCTAAGTATATGCTGACCGTCAACCCTACCTTCTCCTAAACTGGTGTATAGGCATAGCTCCAGTGACCTGCACTGGGCTCTCTGAGGGAGCTATGCTAACTTAATCTAGCTATGGATTCTGGCCTTCTCGGATTAAGATTTTTTTTTTAAATCTGCTGGTTGCCTAGGCTCTTGAAGATGGGGAAAAGCAGACAGAAGCTACTAAGCATTTCACTATGGGTAGGGATTGGGAGGGGTATGGAGGGGCATTGCCTCCGCAGACGTGACGCATGGTGGGGGGGGGGCAGATTTTTTCTCCCTTCTATTTGGCCTTGCTTGCTCCGTGCGGAGCAATGTTCGGGGGGAGGGAGGCGAGCAGTGACATTAGGCACTGTCCAGGCCAGTTTCCTCACATGGGCTGCATAAGGGGAGGATAGCAGAGCTTCAGCTTGGGGCCATTTCAGTTTTACCATCCCGTAAAATAGGAGACTTGCTTCAGAAACACGGGTATCTAGACGTTCTAATCAGCACCGGTAACACTGTAGCGAGTGAACATAAGATCAGAGCTGCTTCCCAAGGGTCTGTGCAGTGTACAGCACTGACTGTGTCAAGCCCAAGTGAGTGACAATGTGAACAAGGAAGGTTAAATGTGAGTGGAATGTGCTCAAGCAGCCGGGCAAAGGTGAGGGGCTTTAGCCATGGATTTGTTTGTGTGCATTGCATGTTTAGGTATCTCTAAAACCAAGGAGACCTGATCCATAGTTACGTGACAGTGCTTGGTTCTGTTTATTCAAGAGTTTGTTTTTATGTTAATATTGATTTTTTTAAGTGGTAAACATACTGCAAATAAATTGAAACAAAAAATTAAGGGTGGTTAAATAATTAACATAAACTGAGTGTGTGGTCCCCACCCCCAAATATAGAAGTCAAACTATGTCTATGCATTTCACTAACATAATCCAGATTGTTTGAAGTATGCACTACTGGTGTTAAATTGCTTTGTATGCTATTGGATTTATAATGGTTTTGGCAGATGTAACAGTGCACGCCTGGTGCTGACATTTATCTATGGGCACTCCAGGTATTTGCTTTATCAGGCTTGAGAAATCCCCTCTCATTTAAAAATAGACACAGGAAGCAGGGGGAGAGGTTTTCCTGATGCATACAACTCCTTACAACACTCATTAATGTTAAGCGTGCATCAAGAGGATTCCTTGTATAGGGACTGATTAGCCCAGTTGCTTGTTGATGTGGAGTTCAAAATATTATTCCCCCCACTTGTCTGGTAAACAACCCTTTCTTCAGTGTTTCAAGTACAGCTGTAACTAATATAGGTGTTAAGTAAAAGCTGCTTTTGCTAAACAAAAGGTGGGAGGAATTGATTTGATTAAGAACTAATTCAGATATTTCATTATGGTTGAATGGGGAAAGGATCAAACTTGAATATTTTTTTCAGGTACTAGAGTAAAATTCAGCCAAAATGTCCAGATATCAGAAATAGTTATCAAATAGTGAAAGCTTTTAGATTGTGTAATGAGAGCAATCCACCTGCTGAGAGGGGAGCTCAAGGAGGAGCAATGGAAGGGTTAGTTCTGAAGGGTGCCCTAATTAGTGCTGTGTGAATAACAGATGTTTTGGTTTGCTGGCAATTCTGAAAAATGGCGGGGGGAAAGTAGTTTAGGGTCAAACTAAAATCAATGTTTTAAAAAGGTTCAGTGAATCGAAACCTAAAAAGATTGGTTTGGACCAAATGAAGTGTTCTGCTTAAGCAGAAACAAAAAACATTAAAATTCTTGAATCTTTTTAATTTTTAAATAAAATGAAGTAAATTTTGAAAATCATTTTGAATAAAAAAATTAAAACATTTATTTCTGAAAATGTCAACAGAACACTTCAATTTTTTCAGATTTTTTTTAGGCTTTGTCATCCAAAACAGTGCGGTAAAATTGACACAAATTCACAAAATGTTTTGGTGTCAATGAGTCTGTATTTTTTGCTGAAAAAGTTAGCGTCGAAAAAACTTCCAGCTGTAGTCCTAATGGTGGGACTATCTCTGAAGTCTAAAGCCTCTGGAGCCTCAAGGGGGGAGGGAGAGAGAGAAGAAAAACACAGCTGCAGGGTGCATTCTGCAAACCCTGTTACTCATATTCTTCTGCCTGCTAAATTACAGAAAGACTTTAGGCAAGCTTGTGTTCTATTCTCTGTTCTATATCTCCTTTGCATTCAGGGTCCCATGAAAAGGCACCAGTCCCTACTGACTGCTGGAAAATACTGGTAATAGTAATTTGGAAGTTAAAGTAAGCGGGCCTGGGAGTTAAGCTGATTTACTGCCTTGCACTATGACAGTGGCAGAATGCAATACTGCTGTCTTCCATTGACATATGCTGGCTTTTGCTTCAGCTCTTGCCCTTCCGTGGGTGGATGATGATGATAGCCTCCGGCGTAAGTGAGGCCAGGGGTTTTAATAGTTTAAAACACATGTGCACACAGTGTTATCCATATGGAATATGGGGGGGGGGGGGGGAGGGTAAGAAACCATGTAAGGATAGGTCTGCACTGGAGTTTTTAACTTAATTTCCAATTAACTGAAATTAGTCTGTTTGCACGTGGCAGTCGGGACACTTCACAAATGCTTGTTCCAGGATACACACACTTTTGGTTTACCCTGCGCTCCATGCTTGTGGCTCTTCCACACTAACATGTACAAACATGTTAGTTAACTCAAGTCATTTGGCAATCAAATGGAATTTAAAAAAATAAATAAATAAAACTCCAGTGTAGACAGACCCTAAGCCAGAACTCTGTAATGATCAGAACTACTCAACATGGATCTGAATAAGGGGTAATAATTACCTGAAGTGTAGTGTTAGCTGAACTTGCGTATGGTGATTTAGTCCATCTATTTTTGGAAAACACTAAAGAACTGTAGCTTGGTACCTTACAGCCTTACACCTCATCCACATAAATACAAATGGCCCATCGTCATGCTTACATTACTTCTTATGTAGGTCAAATTCAACTACAATAAAACAAACTAACAGCAGATTATAGCCCACAGAATGGAACATTCTAAACAGACATTATTGATCACTGGAGGAATGTTATAAAACATACATTTTGAACGTGGAATGTCTTCTACAACAAGCCTGTGAAGAGCTACTGATGCCAAGAACTGGTAAGTTGTTTTTGGAGTCCGTTCAAACGGCACATAAGAGATGCTACGGTTTGAAATAACAAGTGCATCGTTGAAGAGAAAAAGGCTAAGGTCGCTGATGTGTTCATAGAGCCTGCCAAAAGGGAAAAACAATTACTTGTATGCTTTAAACTTTGAGATACGTGGAAATCTATAAGAGGTTTCTGAGAATTAGTGTAGCTACATCGGAGTTATCCAGTACTGCTACAATATATTAATATCTGTATATTTTTCCTGTCTTTTAAGTGAAAATAATTGTGAAGGGGCCAGTAACATAGGGAAGATGATCTGACCTTGGAAATGAAAGTGGTGATGATGGAATCTTTAAATTCTGTATTATATTAATTTACATTGCAAGTAAAATACATGTAGGGCTACAATTACAACTTTGGGTTCTGGTGATACCAGACACTCGCGCTTCATTCTCATCGCTGGTTATAAGAATCCCTTAAGCTGCAGCTAATAGAGTTGGGGGATACATACCGTTTTTGACAATCCACAGAGGCTTCAAATTTTCTACAGTCTTGCTTGCTTCATTCAATTTTGGTTTTTAATTTAAGTTCTTAATGACTTTTAGGTGAACTGAGAATGAAATTAAAACTTCCAGCATTTGGGAAGTGGCTGTTCCTTTATACCAAAGTTGTTTGGCTGCTCTGTACTGTTAACTGTAAAGAGTTGGAATTTGAGTTGTCCTTTGCCCTGTTTTCAATAGAATTGTGGCTTCACTACAACTAGTTTTCTCTTCTCATCAAGACTGAGACCTTCTATTCTTGGTACTGCTAGCCTGTTGCAAGTGTTCAAAACTTGTAAAATTTTAGATCTAATACCACGCATCTCTTAATTTCAGGACACGTTTTTGTGGCTCCTCACTTCTGGAACTAAGCTATTTAAATTGTATTTTCCCCTCACCTATGCCAGGTTTTGAACTTTCCTTTAAATGTTTTCTGTTTACACTCTACAGTCTTAAACATTGTAATTTAGAAGAATTACGAGCAGGAAAATTCTTCTGCAATTCATATGGTATTCAGCTCCAGTCATAGTTGCAATATTATTGCATGTTCCTGTATGGTGAAGCAGAAGAAGCTTGTTTGTAGGAGGCAGGCTCTTACTAAAACACACATCTGAAATAGCAGCAAAAGATGCAGAAAATGACCAGCCAAGTGAATTGTTTTTTGTAGACTTTTCTCAGTTTTGCACCAGTATGAAAACTTAAATATGGAGCTGATTATTTTTTCTATCTTTTACAGATGATAGAGAGATGACAGGTTCTGGTTCCTTTGCTGGAAATCAAAAATTGAAGCTGGAAACATAGACACATCTAAGTAGTGGTATCATCACTCTGGTCAATTAATTTCTATCTCCACAGTTGAGACAAAAAAAAGAACCTGTCGGAAGAGATGGGTGCTACCAGATAAAGAAATTTGAAGGCAGTTTATTCTTTAATTACTTTGGCCTTCAGCCTTGTAGGCACACTACTTTGTGCTTGAACCTGATAATTATCCAACCTGAATATTATCTAATATTATGTTAATTCAATGCTGCCTTAGAGCTCACAAAAGGAAAACAAGAATGCAATTTGCTACCCACCTCCCACAGGAAGTTGATGGAAGTGAGATATGACCACTCAATGCTAATGACTGATCTCTCGTCAGTGTTCCAGAGGAATATGTAATTCCACTTGATTCTTTCCATTCCAAAATTTCCTCAGGGTACAGTGGCAAGGACCTGGGACAACTTCTTTGCAACTCTAAATTAGCAACCACTCACCTGAGAGATCTAGTTTTGTATTTATCACTCCCCCCTTTGGTATTTTTTAATATGTTTGTTTACCTGAATGGAACACAGATTTCCTCAGAACAGCAGCTAAACTGGGTTACATCTTGTATTCTAATCAGGTACCTGTTGGCTTCTAATAAATTCTGTGAATTAAACATTACAGGATTAAAAGACATGAAAACCAAATTTTGGTTATAAAGTTTATCCTGGTATGTTAATTACAAGATTAAGTCACAATTGACTGACAATGAGAGAATATGGGGTTATTTTTTTGTTTGTTTTTATTAGTTAGGCCTCCTTTTGTGGCCAGAATTTTGATTTGGGTAGTGCCTCTAAAATGGATTAATACTGTCAGATATCTTTTGGTTATTTACCAGATACAGGGAAAAAAAAAATTCTGCAAATTGTGGCTTCTCCTGAAATACCTCTCAACTGAAGTAAACATTGACATGGCTGAGTGAGTCACCACTTGGCTTCCACTTTTTAGCACATTTAATTACGCAAATGTTGCAGGTAGGGCTGGCTGAAAATTTTCTGTCCACTAATTTTCAACAACGTTTTTTTCAGTTTTTTTTTCATGATGTCTGCTTTCCACAGAAAATCTCAATTTTTCATCAAACACCCAAAAACTGAAATATTTCGAGCCCAAAACCAAAATAATTTGGACATCCTGCTGTGGTGCCTCATGAGACTTGTACTTTGATTTCCTTATATCCCCATTCTCTTTTGTATGGGCTGTCCTCCACTGCAGCCTACATCTCCCATGGAGTACCACAGCTAGGGACTCCCATGATGTTACCCTCTCCTCACGCCCTGATGGGAGATATAGTCTGGCCAAGGAGCTTGGCCTATAAAGGAAATTCTTGCATGTAAATTTTCATTCTAGGATTCTCCATGTGCTCAGCCCCTAGTTGGCATGGAGATGGGGAATGTCCTACTGTAAAGTGACTGATCACATCTTTGCTCTGAGCCTGGGCTACCCCTTAAGAACAACTCCCCAGGATGATAACTTCCAGTGCTGAAAAATGCTACCTATACCAAAGTGTGAAAGTGCTGTTCAACTCAAACCATGTGCAGCAGAGCTTTTACATGAAATTTAGGGATATCCTGGAGGAAACACCTCTTCCCTTTCAAAATACTTAACAAGCGAGCAATAGGAAGAAAAAAAAAACTGGTCATAATGCTGTTCTCCAAAGGGGGCATCTGGCTGTCTGGCGTGAAAGGTCCTAGAATGAAAATGCACAGGTAAGATGGAATTGTCCCTGTCTGTCCCCTCCATGTCAAACAGCCTTCACAGTGGTATGCAGAAAGCAGCAAGTTATCCCTCGGGAGGAGGAAGGATTCAATTTACCTGTATAGAATTGAAAAGGAGCTTAAGGATTATTAGTGCACCCCATTCAATAACACCAAACACTGACAGCCTGGGTGAGGGGGTTGACTCTGCAGTGCTTGATAAAGATGGAAGATCTTGTAGGAGCTTAACAGGCCTCCCCATTTGATGTGTGACCTCACTTGCCCACAAAATTGCAGCTCTTTTCAGAAAATGCATAGTAACTAGAGGAATTGTAGCTGAGGCTTGTATGCCTCTGCCGTATACACCTTTGTTCCTCTGTAAGTTCTGTTCACAACTAACTTATGCACTTCTACTTCCTTCTACTTAGGATGCTTGGATTCAACCGGGAGGGCAACAATATCACTCCCTATTATCTGAGGAAGACTGTGGTGACGTTGGGGATGGAGGCCTGCTTAGTTCACACAACTACCATGTTTGATAGAACATGGAACTGAAGTTTCATTGAGAATATGCCAGTCTCTGAAACCCTTTTGGAGAAGGAGGTGGTGAGTAGACAAGAGCCTTTCAGTGAAAAGAGAAGCCTGGCAATTGTGACTGAACAGTAGTTTTATTCAAACTTGTAGCACACAGATCAAGATCAGTACAGGAATCTGCATGTTGCCAGAGGACTGATAAGAGCGGCGGTTCTCCTGAATCTTATGTAACGATGAGGCAACGTTCTCCTGGGTTTCTTACAGTGCAATATGCTTCTAGTCTCCGACTTATGTTTCCAAAAAATATTGGCCTAGCGCCCTGTGTGTGAGCCTTCTTGTAAAAATATTAGACTGTGTTATGCTTCAGCTGACTTTGCCCTGATTTGTGTCTTCTAACACCAACATCTAATCCTCAGTAACACATAGACATTTTGTGATTTTTTTTTCTTCAATATTCTAGGAGGGTGATTATCACCTTAGAATGAGTGATACTAGTTGCAGCCTCTTAGGTTCGCAGCTGATGGGTTAGGCAGCAATGGATATTGGGTCACGATAGGTCCTCATTACACTACGTTTTGTGTTTTTGAAGTTTAAGGAGGTTCCAGTTGCATCTAAATCAGGTCTGAGAGCCAAGACCTGAGGTTAATTAGAAGGTGATTACAATCACTGTGGTCTGTTCCTTTACAATTTTCTTTACCATCTGTACTCAGTGGTTGGGGGCGGGGGAGGCATACAGGCCTTTTAGCCCTCTTGGTGACCACAGACTCCAATTCCTCACATACCACCTCTTTTGTTTTTCCCAACTGGACTTGAGGAACCTATTTTCTTTCAAGAGGCTTTCAACCCGGGCTGTGATGCACATAATGTGCATTCCCTTGATTTTAAGTGTCTTGATGAGCTGGTCAGCCATGACTTTCCTTTTTTCGTGCAGAATCCTGAGGAATAGAGTGAGAGCTTCTGCCCAGGACATGAACAAGGTTGCTTCTCAAAGCAGTGCTGAAGGTTTTCTGCCTTCTTATCAGTTTTATATACACACCATGTTTCTGAAGAATCATCTGTGGGAAGTGGACCATCAAGCTCATTCTTCCATAGCATGAGACAGGTTATACTACTCCATGTCTCCTCCTTTGGCCACACCTCCCCAACTCATGTAGAAGTCCAGATATGTTTCCCCCTATATGGAGTCTGATATCTGTATCTGGACCTGACATCAACTAACTGTTAAATAATATTGAGAATGAGTTCACCAAGAGATCTTAAAGATTGTCTTGGATGATAGCTTAGATATTAGAGTTTTGCGATGGCTGTAATTGGCCTTTCCACTTGTTCACACAGACATGTTGAGTGATGGGTGCTGAGCCTTGTATAACCTGATGAGGTCATTGGACCAGAGTATACATGGAGAGGGATGATATGGCATTTGTGAATACCTCTGGAGAAGTTACGAGTCCAAAAAGGAAGTACTCTGTATTTATCTTCTTATGGACTTGAGGTCTTAAGTGGACTGCATGCCATTGTTGTTCTTTGTACTACAAAGAATCTTGTACCCATACCAAAATGTTTCCATGGCATTGGTTCTATCATTCCAATGTATATGGACTATTATGTACTTAATTTTCTGATGCTGCAAGGGGTCTTGTTGATAAGGTTGGTTTATTTTAATTTACTATGGGGAAAGGATAAATTTGTGCTGGGACAGTGAATGATTTTTAATGCATATCCTTCCCTGATTATCTTAAGCACCCATTTTCTGAGGTGGTCCACTCCCAGATGAGGGACTACTCTGAAGTGCAGCTCTAGGGTGGATGGGGTATATGCCCAGACTTGGGAAACCCCCAAAATTAGAAGCTCTTGGGGTTAGATTGTTTTGCAGAGAACCTCCTAGCCTTGGTCTTCCAACTCTTAGGAAAGATAGCAATGGTCTAATCTGTAATCTCTACACTGGAACCTGGAGAAGCAGTGGTTTCAAAGGGAACACCTGCTGGGATAAGGTGGTATCATGGTTAGAGGTAGTTACTCCTCTGTCCCCTTCCTGGTGTCTCTGAATCCATTCCCTCAGGTGTCAGGCCTCGTGCCTTTACCTACCCGGGAGTGGAATTCCACACTTCTCCTGTTCTTAGGCTGGCCCCGGGGCTACTATATTCTGTGAATCCACTGTTCTTACCCAGCAGGTTCAACTGGGTTCAGCACCTGCAGTTCTTCCCTTTGGCAGTATATGACCAGTGGTATATAGTGACCACTCCTCCCCTGCCCTTCAAAACCAAAGTATTGTTTGTAGTAAGGGTAGGAACAAGAGGATTTTAAAACTGTCTACAGCAGGGATCGGCAACCTTTGACCCGCGGCCCGCCAGGGTAAGCACCCTGGCGGGCCAGGCCAGTTTGTTTACCTGCTGCATCTGCAGGTTCGGCTGATTGCGGCTCCCACTGGCCACGGTTCGCCGCTCCAGGCCAATGGGGGCTGCGGGAAGCAGCGCGGGCCGAGAGACATGCTGGCCGCGGCTTCCCACAGCTCCCATTGGCCTGGAGCGGTGAACCGCGGCCAGTGGAAGCTGCAATCGGCCGAACCTGCGGATGCGGCAGGTAAACAAACCAGCCTGGCCCGCCAGGGTGGATACCCTGGCAGGCCGCTTGCCAAAGGTTGCCGATCCCTGGTCTACAGTCATGTCTCTTAAAGGCTTATTTTTTTCTGATAGTAATCTGGGCGGGTCTAACTTTTTGAGACGCATCAGTCATGTTTTTCCCCCAAACTCCTCCCTCTCTTGAGTCTTTCATTTTAAACCTGCCACAGTTCTTTTGATCTTCTGGTTTCCAGGCTTTACCTGTCCTAGCATTGTCTCGTAACAACTATGAAGTGTTTGCTGAGAAATGGCTTATCTTGAGTCGTCATTCTTCCCCTCCTGCTTTTTACTTTACAGACACTATTAAACTAAACACATATATTCATACAATAAACACCCCACTAACCAGGTCAATATACTATATTTATAAATCATTACAGAGCAGCTCCAATTCCCTCACAGGTACTTTGAAGATTGAGCCTAGACCTCTCCAAGAAAAGATTGCAGCCAATACTCTCAGGGCTGAGACTGCTGTATCTACATTCAGTATAAGTGATTATCTTATTCTCTTGTCTGTGGGTTTGGCTGTCTGAGAAAATTCCCTCAGCTGGTATGACTATGCCTTTTACTAAGGAGGCCACAGCTGGCTGAACCTCAGGCAAAGTAATGAAGGCTGTAAATACAAGTAGGTCTTGATAAGGAATTCCCAATCCACCTTAATCACACCCTCATAAACCAGATGAGGAAGAATTACGCACCTCTCCCTCAACTTTGCAAGGTGTTTTTTTGTTGTTGGTGGCAGTGGTGCTGCTTCATTTTCTAAAAACACCAAGACCCATGAAGTCAGAGCGCCCTTTGTACTCAATTCTGGGAAGGTTAATTGACTGAGGTTTCTTGCTTAAAGCCCCAGTTTTAGAGATTTCTTCTCTTTAGAGGATCTAGAGGGGAGACTCTTTCATGAGAGGTTTTAAAAGTTTGTGCTGTCCCTTTAAAAGCTGATTGTGAGCACTGTCCTTCACCACTCCCTGGCCCAAACCCCTCAGAAAAGTGGGGAGGGGTCTTGCCCTCTGTATCCTTATAAGACCCCTTCCCAGTTTTCTCAGGGGGTTGGGCCAGGGAGTGGTAAAGGACAGTCTGCATGCCTCCCTGAGGAGAACAGTATCCACTTGTTCGGATCACTGGAGGCTTGATGGAGAGAGGAGGTATGCCCATCTCCCAGGGCAGGGGATCTGAATCACTTCACCCATATTCCCTGCAGTTGGGTTCGGGCTGAGCGGGGACTAACTGCATAGAATGATGAGTGAGGCAGAGCCATTGGAGACAAATGACTCATTTATATCAGGTCACAGGAGCATGGCAACTAAGGCTTTATAGGTACAACAGCTTGTGGGAAGGGAGGATGCTTTGCAGCCATCTCAGCGTGGACCTTTGAATTTTGCCAGCTGAGAGCAGGAATTTATTCCTCCAACTTTGCCTTCCCCTGGGACTCAAGAGATTCCACTGGACCTTTTCTGCTTGTTCTTCAAGCTGTGGGAATAGGGCTCCTATGCCTAGGAGAGATGCAGGGAGGCTTTGAAAAACCACTCCTTAGTTCTGTGTCACTGATTCTGGCCTGATCTCCATATAGGGAGCTTCCATTCATCCTGCTCAACTGTCTTGGCCTGGACCTCACGCCCATGTCAGCTGGGAGCTGGGTTTTGCTGCAGCCTGCTGTCTGTCCCCCCCTTCTGAGGGTGGAGGGGGAGGAAAGGTGCAATTCTTGAAACCCTCCTTACAAGCCCCAATCTCTTTAATTTTGCAGTTTGTGGAGGAGAAAAACCTTAAAGCCAATGAAGAAACAGACACTTAGTTAAAAACTGTTTAGAAATCCTGTGAAAGCGCCGCTCCAAAGGGAGTCTTGGAGCCTGCCGTGGACACTGCTTGGAGAGACCGAATTCTGGGGCGTTCTTCCCGAGGAATGGTCCTAAGCCCAGCCTCAGAGCAAAGGTCTGCCTTAGTTTCCAACCAGAGAGGGCCACGAAAAGCCTCTGAAAATGTCATATTTGTAAAACCCATTTGCAAATAGATTATGCATGTGGAATTATATATACACCTCAGATAAAATTAGACCCCCATTGAAGTAAAGTAAATAGAATTTTGGCATTGACTAATAATGGAAGGACTACCTATATCTGAACTCACAGCGGAGTAGGTGCTGTCGTAAATCAGAGCTGAAATTAAATGCATTAAAGTGTTCGAAAGGAAAATGAAGTACTTACAGGACATCCCTGGATGATCCTTTGTGCATTTAGCATTTGCTCATCTTTGCTCATGTTCAGTTTTAGCTAGAAAATAAACTAAAATTAGACCACAAATAACTTCTCAAAGGTTGGGAAAGGAGGAGATTGTGTTCTATGTAAGGGTCTTATCTAAATCTCACAGAAGTCAATGGAAAAACTTCGACTGACTTCAATGGGCTTTATAAGAGACCCTAATTTATTCGTGGGCAATTCTAGATGGTACAGTGATATTTGAGTTAGACAGTAATTTGATTAAACTAAATTTACCTCAATGACTTTTGAAAATAACTTGTCTAAAATCTCCAAGGAAAAATAAACAAAGAGTTTGACAAAATCCTCCTGCTTGAACTCATGCGTTGTGTGTGTAGAGAGGTGTTTTGTTGGGTTTTTTGGGCACTTTCTTACAGAATAAATCTACCAGCTGGTAGGTGTTTTCTCATGCCTGATGAACCAGCTTAGCTTCTATTTCCATAGAAAATAGAGGATGAGGAGGAGTAAGGCTGTTGGTGTGGTTGTTAGTATGGGCCATCCACCAAGGAAGAACAGCTGCAGTGCGTAGCGCCCTAATCCCTATCTTGTTCCAGCAGCACCTAACCATCTGAGAAAACCCCTCTTATGTGTGTGGTATTCAACTGGGGACTCTGCCCATTTTATACTCCCTTTACACTGCTGTGCGAAGAACCACTGGATATAATTGGGACTTTGAAAATGTCTTGGCTTCTACAAAGTCCCTCAGAAAGGACTATAAAGAAACTTGGGTCATGAGGAGAGAATAGAGTTCACAGGACTGCCCTATGCCGCCTCCTGGCTTTGGGACTGGAGAGGGAAGCAGCTGTTCCCAGCAAAGGTACCTGAGATGGAAGGCAACTCATAGCCTAATTCTCTCCTAAATCTCCTGGCTCCTTGTGGATGCCTCCTAAGACAAGGCAAGAATACCACACTGAAAGGAGAGAACACAGACAACTGTGGTGACAAACCTGATCTATGTATTCCTTGTATTGTTTCATCATCTTGATTGCGGCAGTCAAATCTTCATGGTCAGCGTGTTCTGAAGGAGTGTGCAGTCTCAGAGCATAAAGAAGATTAAGATACTCTTCAAACCTTTTAGAAGGGCAGAGCAGCAGCTCCTGTAGGCTATATTTCACATAGATATAATCCATGCGTTAGCTAGGAACCTGAGTAATTCAGTGATACATGTATTGTAAGTTATACAGTGTGACTTCTGATGCTTATGTACTGAGAAGGTCTTGGATCAAGCATCAGTATGAAGCAATGTGCCAAACACGCACACATGGTGAGTCTGTCTACTAGTTTGAGAAGTCTGCTAATCAGTTAAGTTTTTTCAAGTGTCTGGCTCTCAACTGCAAGAAATAATACAGCAATTGCTAACGTTCCACTATGACGCTGATTCAAAGCCAGAGTCCTTTTAATTAAAAATCTGACCAATCTGGTCTGACAAACTTCTTCATAGTCTATGATCATGTTCTTATGCTTTGGAGAGAACCCATGTGGAAGGTAAGAGGAAAGTATAGAGCCTGGAAAATATCATGAATACTGGATCCATTTAGTCCAAGAAGAATTACAACTGTACAAATGTGCTATGGGCCAACTCATAATCTCCTATGACTTGTGTATGTATTTGCTCTAAGACTTCATTTAAATACTATTTTGTTTATACTGCTTTTAAAATTGAGTTGGGAGGGAAGTGGGTTGGGATACTCATAGTGGACCTAATCCAAAGCCCAGAATTCTGATTTTATGCTATGTCACAGTGTAAATACCACAGACCTTACCTCATCATGTTAGTAACGACAGTCTTATCATGTCTTTTCAGGAAGGCACGGAATAAAGGAATGGTCTCTCTGCACTGTGAAAGGTAGAGGTTTGATCATCAATATAACTTGATTATTGGAGACCAGCCTACTGGAGATGTTTTTTTCTTCCTACTGTCATTAAAATTATTTTTATAAAGATTTTTACATTCCCAACTGTAACAGAATTTAGTACAAATGTATCCTTTAAAGGGAAATGTGATCCATCAAGAAGAGTAAATCAAAACTTTTAACATACCTCTCCCCAAAAAATCTTTTTTTGGGGGGGAGGTCTTTTGGTAGTCTGCTATCAACCCTCCAGAACAGTAACTGCAACAGTATTGAAATCCCTGTTCTCAGGCTGGGTGACCTTCTAAACCTTAGAGAGAAAGTGAGTATAAATCTGCCTCGCTTGGCAGGAAGAAATGAGGATCATGAACTTGATGAGCATGGCTCTCCAAGCCGAAGTTCTCCAACTTGCAAGAATGGATTAAGCAAGGGAACAGTGAGACACGTATTCTGGCATCTATGCTCAAGCAAACCTTGTTCCCTGGGTTTTATCACCAAGGCTAGAGTTGGGGGTTAAAATGGTGAAGTAGTAATAGTTTGAAGGATGATCTTTTTTACATTTAATGGCACATACTAAAATGAAAAGGGGGCATAAATGGCTGGTTATATGTTAGTTCTGCCAACATTAAGTGTCTCTGTAAACTCTAGCACACACTCGTGCTGGAATTATGTAACGTCTCTAAATGCATCCATTGCAGATTTACAGCAGGGCTAAACAAGAAAACTGGTGGCTACCAAGGTTCTATCTCTGTGCATGTGCCATGCTGATGATGAAGGCATGCTGATTTATTTTTATTTTTTTTCAATTGGGAGACACAAATACTCCATTGCACATGGACAATAAGGATTTGCACACACATACAGCTATGTTTGCAAGCAAACCTCACCTTGTATGTGCATTACGGTATATGTTCATACAAGTTGACTGCATGGGCATTTCTAAAATCTTGATCAGTAATGTACATCCACTACAGGTGTTAAATGGCAGATTTATTCAGGCAAATTTAACCCTATAAAGACTTCAAAGAAGCAGAGGCTAATTGTCTTAATTAGACTATCATCCCCTTGATTTTCATGCAACTTCTGTAGTGTGACTGGTATTTTCCTGGGTTTTAGAATTTTCTGTATTTTGGCATGCCAAGAATATCAATATTGGAATGGATTCCATAAAAAGAAACATAATTCATTAAACTGAATTCTTATTCTACCAAATTAAGTGTGAATATTAGCTTGCATTTCCAACAAAATAAATGTGAGCATTAGACTGGCATATGATGTATTTTCACAGTCCTATAGAACTTACCATATCAATGGTTTTCAGAATGACAGTATAGTTGTTGAAGAAGTTTGTGTATGTTTGAAGCTGCCAGCCAAATTGAGTGAATATTTCACCTAAGCACTGGGATGGTCTCCATTCCTGAAGTCTTTCTGTCAGCTCATTTAAAAACTGCCTGCATTTGAAATAAATATAGAGAGATGTCTGTCTTTCCACAGTTTCCTGGCCAAATTACTGTTTAGATAACTACATTCTTTCTAGTGTTAAAAATAAATAAATCCCGCTCTAGTTTTCTCATTTTTGTCCTAGAGTGCTGTTTAGAGTTAATGTAAGCTGTTAAACAATTGCCATGTTTTCGTCCCAGAGCTGGCAGTTGAGTGATGTGGAGTGATTTCTGTATATCTTATTATGTGCTTTGGGATCCATCTGGATGATAGTCACAATATAAATATAAGTTCTTTATCATTTAAACCTTAAAAATGTGGGTAACTTATAAAATCAGCCCTTTACTGCCTTGAAAGATTGACAATGCTTACCTCTTTTAAGCTATCCAAAGTTTTGCGTAAGGAAATGCATATATTTTTTTCACTGACAGTATATCTCTTTTCTCAGGTACTGATGCCCCAGTTCCAAGTAGCTACCATAGCACCAATGAATGTTAGACTGTTGTGTAATGTTGGCCTGGGGTCTATTGCTAATCGTCTGAATTGCAACTAATTTTTTTTAAACTGCAGGAATGGGAAATGTACACACAGAACTTGCAAGGAAAATAAAAACACGATTATGTTGATTTTTCTTTGTAAGATTAATCGTATCTAAATTCCTCGCATACATTATAAAATTATTGTTAAAATCTGTACCTCTTGCATCAGTCTGAACACTTTTAATCTAGGTTAATGGAACTCTCTTTGGTACTTTTCCTTTGTTAATACCTTCTCAGATGTTTGACAGATGTGTTCCAATGGGAGGGTGGGGTATTTTAGTTTTTTTACATTAAGAGCTCAAAGCTGAGGTACAGATTTTATTTATCCAAAGTTTAAAATAACTTTTCATCTTTTAACTATTTTTCAGTAACCAGATCTCCAGCTTACATTCTTGTGATGTCTTCCTTTTATTATGTAACCATGTTTTACTAAGTTCAGTTTTCCTTGCAGTCTATTCCAAATCATGTTGCTTGTTTAATTCACTATTTATCCTAGTCTCTTCCTTTCTGTTTGTAGACTTGCAATAGTTGCCACTGAAACTGATTTTTTTAAATGTTGCTAGAGTTGGGCATGAAGCAAAAACATGGAACTGATTCTGATCTGACCTTCATATTTCTATTGTGGGCAGAACCAAAAGTACAGTAAAGAAAATTCTTGAACTTCAGGATTCAGAATCCAGATCCAAAGTTTTTGGGGTGTCCAACTCTGACCCACTAGAGAGAGCTTTGAGCTATGAACTTTGATTGAGAACTACAGTTCTGGAGTTTAATTTGAGCCCCTCTCTAGACCATGATTCTGCAATCAGATTTATGCAGCGAACTCCTGTGCCAGTGCAGAGCCTCACTGACTTCAGTGGGGCTCTGTGCAGATGCAGGATCTGCCCATTCACATATGATTGCAGGATCAGAACCATCATTACTGACATTTCAAGCATCTTAAAACTTCAAAGGGATATTTGTAGAACAAGATTCCAGTTTTTCATCCTGTATATTACCATCACTCTGACTAATGAATAATACCTAGCACTTACAAAGTACGATTTATTTATAGCTCTCAAAAGCCCTTTCAAATGTGATAAGTATATCTTCCAATTTAAGATATATGGGGAAACCGAGGCAGAGATTAAGTGAGTAGCCCAAGGTCACACCATACGTCAGTGACAGAGCTGGGAATGCCCCCTAGACTCCTGACTCTTAATCAAGTATCCTGTTCTCTGGACTGTGCTGCTTCCACAATCTATAACCCTTTTTTATCTTAGTACTGTGCTTTCTCATAGGATTGAGCATTTTCTCAACTAGCTCTAGTCAGGCAGGATTTTATACTTTTGTATCATTCAGGGTGTAAAATCTAAAGTAATTTCACCAAAACTGAAACACAATTTTAATTTTTCATGCTGACGGTCTGGTCATATTCTGCAAAGCCCCATATTATGTGCCACCATTCACAGGTAAGGTCAGTAAATAACAATACCGTTGTTTTCCAAAAGCATCTGCCTGAAAAGTCAACCAAGATTGGAGGGATGGCAGCTAATTAAATCCTATGCTTCAGTCAGGAGTGTAGTGTCCTATCCTCGACAATCTTTCTCTTCGTCACGGAACATTCACAGATGCAACAGACGGCGATAACCCATGCAGCAACTGCACTGATTTGGCTTTTGTCTAACCCAAAATATTTAAAACTTTTAGTAAATTTAAAATTCAGCATATAGAATATACCGATTGAGTTGTAAGGCGTCCAAGACATCAGAGAAGATGATTTGAACATTAGCATGACTTAGGATGGCTCGATTTGATGCTAATGCTGCTTTCAGTGGTGTAACATAAACATCCCTCACAGTTTCCAGCATGTGTACATAGTTCTTCTCACTCGTCAGGAGCTCCCTGGCAATTCTAGTTCGTCTGTCTGCGGTATCCTTCTGAAGTTTTTTATCCTACAGTCAGAACATGGAGAGTAAATTAGTAGAGGTTATCTTTACAATAAAAAGCATGGGGCTGGAGGAGGACCAGAAAACAATGAAAAAGGGACAGAACAGAATACCTGCTTGCACCATTGCAATACGACCTACTGGTTTTAATAGACCCAAGAAGAAAAACTATTGATGTTTATCAGTAATTTTTCTCTGTACCTCTTCCTTGCCCAAATACGCACATGTGCACGTCCAACACACACAACAGCATGCCCCAAACAGTCACAATGTCTCCCTCCCCCACTCCAGGAGAGAGGGAGGGAAATACCCTTGTCAACACATTAATCTATATCCTAAACTGCAAGAACTTGGGTTTCATAAATTTAATATTTTAAGGTCAGCAGGGATCACTGATCATCTATAGAGCCCTGTGTGGATAAAAATTTATATCTGCGGATATAAATTGGTATATATCCAATATATGGGCTCTCCTGGAAACTGACCAGCGAAAGGAGCAGAACGTGGAGCTGCTGCTCCCAGAAGCCAGTGACCTGTGCCAACAGCTCCGGTGCATCTGTACCACTCCCCAGCCCCCCCCAGCAGCTGTCCCTGGTTGCGCTCTTGTGTTCAAGCAGTGCGCATGCTCCCAGACAGGACAAGCAGACAGCTGCGTGGAAGGGACGGGGCAGAGCTGGGGGTGGGGCTGCGGGTGGTACAGCCATGCCGGAGGAGCTGCCGGTGTGGGGTGCTGGCTCCTGGGAATGGCAGCCGCATGTTCTGCTCCTTTCACCACTGCAGTTTCCAGGAGAGCCCTGTGGGTCTGCAGATACCGATTTCTATCCGCGGATCTCCACATCTAGTCTCACCTCCTGTGTAACACAGGCCATTGAGCTTTCCCAGAATAATTCCTAGAGCAGAGCTTTTAGAAAAACATCCAGTCTAAGTTTGAAACCCTACTGACAATCCTGTCCACACTGCGGAATGAACGTTTGGTTTTTTTTTTTTTTTAAAGTTCAAAATTGGTTCAGGGGAAAGCCTATGATTGAACACAGAGCCTAGGCAGCACTGCTTGAGCAAAAGCTATTTTTCCCCTTCACCATTTTCCTGGTAGCTGAGGTTAAGGGTGAAATCCTGGACCCATGACATCAACAGGAGTTTTGCAATTGACTTCAGTGGAGCTAAGAAAAGATTCTTGTTTATCTAGAAGCCTGATAATTCTCTTGATTACAGAACATAAATAAGACTAAGCTTTAACTCCAAAGAGGCAGAGGATGAACTATGTGTAAGGTACATGTATAGTCACAGCAACAATAACATGAAGTGCTGCATCCCATTCTGAGGTCTGCTTGCAAACGATATTCCAACATCATTATGATTTTTGGACATCCACATAAGGGGTAACAATTTTTAAAAAAATACTAGATACATTGTTTGTCCATATCTACTTTCCTGTAGGAAAGAAACTACAGGTCCAACGTGTACATCACAGAAGACCATAAGGTATTTACGAATCATTGATTTCCTTACCAACTGAGCCACTGCCTCAAATGTTGGCTCATTTGCTCTGATGCTGCAATTAGGCTTTTGGCTCAGGGTGGCAGCCTCTTTTGCAGCCTCCTCCTGAGGATTAAACAGAAGCTTTTTTCATACCCATCATTTGAAGGAACCACACTTAGCTTCTCCAGTTCTTCGCTATTTTGTTCCCTTCTGCTCAGGTTTCCATAAAAAGATCATCTCATAGTTTACCAGGATTAGTATTCCATAGATAATTGGCACTATACCATCTATATAAGAAACATTAACTAGTGACACTATTTACTGTTTTATTGTTGAGTGTTTATTCTGTAACTCGGTCATCATAATTTAAATGAACTTGACTTGACCGTGGGATCTCAGCTCAGGAGGGGGATATATTTTCAATTTCCCAAACAAAAAGCTCCATTCTCGCAGACTTACATGTGTGTGTAACTTTCAGCACATGAGTATGCATGTTGACTTCCACAGGACTCCTCACATGCTTTAAATTAAGCGTATGTGTAAGTCTTTATAGGGTCAGTGCCACGGTGGGACCATTATCACACAGAGTGACACACAGAGTGCCCACAAAGTCTTTTTATAAATCCAGCCTGTAATTGGTGTGTGGTCAGAACCCCTGTGCCCAGGTAGACCCCACTGGTGTGGCTCCACAGGGCCCAGAGGTCTGCTCGTGTGCAATGAATTGCAGGACTGGGGCCTTAGCTTGCTGTTTGCTGTTCTATGAAAGTTGTGTACTTTGTTTAGTTCTCAGGGAATAGCAATGAGGATTCCTGTAACTTTTAAAAAATCACATTTTTTTGTGTGTATTTATTCTTGTGTTGCTCAACTGCTTTCAGGTAGCTGCATCCATACATTAAATGTTGGTGTTAGCAGTAATTTTTTAAAATAGGAAATATAGTGGTATTTAAAATATTTATTTTCATGTCAGGTTTTAAAATATATAGAGAGAGAGAGAGAGAGATCTGCTGTTTAGTATTTGAAAAATCCGCTGTTGAACTTGATCAGTATAGTTTATGCACAAATGAAAAATCTAACTTCATAATGGCCAACTTCATGGGCTAACAGGAAAGCTAAATATGTATTTATGTGATTGGTCATAACAGCTGATGACTCATTGGCAAATGTTATTAACTGCAGAAATCTTACTGCACGAAGACTATTCCTATGGGTAACAATCCCTTGAGATAACATACTTAAAGTTCTGCATCTCTATCATTAACATTAGATGTCTTTGATAATCATAACTTTGACATAGTGTTGATTCTAGCTATGAAAATCAAATTTAGCTTCCAGTGCTCAGGCCCCCTTTTCTTCAAGCAGTTTCTTGAGGCTCTACATTTCTCTTACTTGGTTTATAAGCAGATTAAGCACTAGTTCAACCGGAGCAGTGGATTTATGATGCAGACTAATGTCCCATAGGGACGAAGATGAGGTCACCAAATGTATATTATTTTGTGACCTAAAACAGGAGCTGACGCTAGACCTCAAGAATGGAAAGGTAAGTGCATTAACCCACTGCAGTTACTAGATAGTGAGCTGCACTGAAAGAGGTCACTGTTCCTTAATGAATGCACCAAGACTTGTCTTCTAGTCACCATCTTTCAAGATCGGTCTGCTAAGCTCTCTGTAGTATACTTCCTCAGCAGGAAAAAATGTTGGAAATTCCAAAGGATTTTCCTAAGTAACCAAAAATAAAATTAAGATAAACATTATTCAAGGTCAAAATGGGTAAATTTCACACTAAAATGGGTTATCATGAGGTGCTTGTTGGATAGTGTGTTAATGGCTGCGTCTTTATAAGCAACAGTGTGTGTTTATATGGGGATGAAGAGCCCCAAAGTCAAGACAGGTTGAAATTGGGGAGGAGATTCAGAATTTCAATCCCTATGCTGATGGAGGCTGAAGATCTTGTAAATGCAAGTCTGGGTGGGCTGAAGGAGAGAGAGAAGGAGACTGGGGTTCATGCTGACTGATCCAGTGGATTTGACTTGTTTGTTAACACTTACAGCATCCATACGGGATGAAGATAACTGGGCGTACAAATTTACCTTAATTGTGAGCTCAACTATAAAAAGTGAGTGAAGGTTCATAAAGTGTCACAATAACCTACAACCAAAAATGTTGATAGAAAAGGTGGAAAATCGAGAGAGACTAAATTAGTCTAAATAAAAAGGCCTACTGATATAACTCAGTTAAGATCACATCTGGTAAACAAGGAGTAGAGGACTGGAAATCAATGGACCAAATCCTGACCAGACCAGGCCTAAGAGAGGGACCCAAGTGACACTGCTACTTTCCACTGGCTTTATCCCAACCCCACTTGAGATGTAAAACTTCATCCCCCAGCCCCTCATGTCTTTTTCCTTCTCTACCTTTTCTTCTCTTTCCTATCCCTCTCCTTTTTCCTTCTAATTAGAGTAGCTTAGCTGACCAAGACTGTATATTTTGCAACCCTGCTGTAAGCCTGTGACCAGAAAGAGGCAGATAAAAGCAATCCCCTAAACAGCCCAATCTGGTATAAGTTGATAGACAGTTTTCAAAGTGGCTGATTAGACCGTGGGCTAAGCCTGTTTTTTTCCAGCAGTGAGGTTGCAAATGAAAATCTTCTCTCTCTGTGTTGCTGCAGTTTCTATTTTTGCTATTCTATTCTTCTCTCCCCTTAAATGTTCTTAAACCTGAAGAAATTTTATACAGACAGATCACATGTGTTGGAGACCCTCAAAAGCCAGCTGAAAAGGATCATTAAGAGCATTTAGTTTAAATCTTATTTCCTTTATGTCCTGCAATACTGCCAGTATTCATTCTAACATGACAACCAACTCCCTCCTGGAATATGCTGCTAGTGGGAGGGGTAATCAGATGCATTTCTGACTGTATAGCACAGTTTGGCAAAGGTTTTAATATTACCCTATTCAATTTGGAATGAAAAATAGTATTTAAACCCAACAACAGAACTTTTCAACACCCTGTACCTCTGCTCCTGTTTACAGGAGTGCAGGGGAAATTACTTAATAAATTCCAACATTTTTTTTCCATCTGTGGCACGCTGTGCTGCAAAGCAGTACTCTGGAACACCCAGATTTACCAGGGTGATATAATTATAATAGGTTTTGTACAAAGTATGCCTTGTTAGGTATCATTTTAGAAGTCTCGAGCTGTTGAACATTAATATCCTGTTGGATTGTATGTGCTGTCATTGTATGTGAAGCTATGAAGTTTTGCTATGTGTGTTACTGAAATATGTTGTGAGGTTGGGAACACCCACAACCAGCCTTTCAGGTGCAACAATGGAGCAGCCAGGTGCTGCTGATGGCCCATTAAAGGAATCCACACTCACAACAACTATCCTAGGGACTGTATACAATGGAGACTTCTCAGAGAGAGCACCTAGACAATGAAGACTGTTTGACTCATAGCAAACTATAAAAGAGGGGAAGTAACATCATTTGGTCTCTGTCCCCCCACAACTCAACACCTGGAAACACATCTGGAGAACAAAGATTGAACTGGGGAGATGGTCCCAGACTGGAAAGTAGAATCCCAGCTTGTGTCTGAAGGAACTATACTATCAGGGTGAGACACTGCTTGATTCAAATCCTGCCTAGTTTATAAAATACAGATTGCAATTTTACTTTTATTTCTTAGGTAACCAACTTTGATCTATACGCTTACTACTTAAAATCTTTCTATAGTTAATAAATCTGTTTTATATTGTACCTTAAACAGTGTGTTAACGTGCCTGGGAAATCTGCTCAGTGTACAAAAGCTGGTGCATGCCCTCTCCACATTGAGGGAGGGGTGGACTGGGTAATAAACTTACACTGGTCAGGCTTCTGACCAGGACAGGATGGTACATCCCGAGGTCCTAGGCTAGGGAGCTGGGGGAATTGGCTGGAGCCTCTCTATTGTTAGTTCATGAATGACTAGGGGAAACATTCATGTAGCTCAGATGGGTGCGTCCCTGCCTGTGGATGACTGTGTAAGTGCAGTACCTGGAGAGGTTTGCAGTTTTTCACAGCATTACAGTGTGCGAGGGATCCTGTGTTGGTAAGCCAGAGGGCTCAGTGGTACCCCAGTTCCAGGTTGCATTCTGGGGAATCCATCACACCATCGTGACCTCTATTCACTCAGAACAATGCTCAGAATTGTCCTCAGTAGGAATCCCTCTCCTCTTCTCCATGCTGTGTTCTCTCGCCAGTGCAGAATGGCTTCTTTTAGTATTGGGAGATACGGGCTCCAATGTTGCTCCTTCCAGTATTTTGATCCTCATACTTAATTGGAGTGGCTGATTGACCAGGAAAATCTGAAGCACAATGCCAGTAGTTTTCCCATTCAGCATCCACTCTTAAAGGACCCATTGCTAATTTGGACTCCAAACCAGGAAAAAGCATGCAGTGTCCATGCAACTACCCTGTTCAGAGCTATGGATCGTCACCTATCTATGTATTTGTGAGCTGATCCAGCATGTCAATAGGTATCTTAACTTAAAAAAAGCCTCACATAAATATTCATCAAGCCTAGTACAACAGTCATTGAAATGGGAAGAGATCTGCAAATAACCTTAAATACCACTTCATTTGACTATTAAAAACCTAGCAATTTTACTTACAAAGCTTCTTTTTGACAGTTCAGCTAATCCATCAGTGAAAGTCTGGGCTGTTTCTTGATTAGTATGTACTTTAGCTCTGCTCACGGCATCAAACATAACCTGACCTGAAAATACAAGATCATTAATTGTAAGTTAGTCCTTCAAACAGATACTGTAAGCTTGCCTGATAATCATTAACAATAGTCACTATATTCTAGTCAGAGAAATAGGCAACCGCACATGCAGGCGGACATTTTGTTGGGCATTCAAACAAAAGGGAACTTGTCTACGCTGAGGTTTTTAGCCACTAGTCTACCTACAATGATGTAGCTGCACCAATGCCTTAAACACTGCAAAGACAAATCCGGTATAGGCAAGGTCTGAAAAAGCACTCTAGACATGGCATTGCCAGGTCCCACAATTTTGTCTGTCACACGATAGCAAATGTGCTCACTTTCTGGATTTAAAAATATATTTTTGTACTGCTAGCCCTGCAAACTCAGCCTGAGCTCAGAGTCAAGCAGAGTCATTTCCTTGGTGGTATGCCAGTATAGGGAAATCTCAGACCTATGGCAGCAGGCCTGCCGACAGCAATTCCGGGCCCCAGGGCAGAACAGTCAATGGGTTGCTGCGGCACATGGTGCAGGGCAGGCTGCACCTGCGCTGGTTGGTGCCCAGCAAGCTGCTACCTGCTGCACTGCACGTTCTTCCAGCACGGCCAGGGCTTTCACATGCCCGCCCGGCTGCCTTTGCCGCTGCCGGAACCACCCCGCCCGTGCCTAGGAGCCCTGCGGCCCGCCTGGACAATTGCCCCCTTTGTCCCTTCCCACCCTTCCCCCCGTCGGCGGGCCTGTATGCAGGAGCGGCGCCAGGGTTTTTGGCGCCCTAGGCAGGGGTCCTTCCGCGCTTCTGGTCGGCGGCGGCAATTCTGCGACGGGGGGGTCCTTCCGCGCTCCCGGTCTTCGGGGCACTTCGGCGGCGGATCCCAGAGCGAGTGAAAGACCCGCTGCAGAATTGCCACCGAAGACCCGGAGCGCAGAAGGACCCCCCACCGCCGAATTACTGCCGAGGGCGGCAAAAGGCGGCACCCCCCCCAAATCCTCGTGCCCTAGGCAACCGCCTAGGTCACCTAAATGGAAGTGCCGGTCCTTCCTGTATGGCAGCTTTAAAGAATATTGTCTAAACACAGAGATTGGGGTCAGAAAACAACTTTGAGGGATATTTTCTAGACACGTTTAACGTAACCTTACCCTCTTCATGGAGATAGTTTACTGCTTGATAGTTTCTGAAAATAGTGTGTGCTGAAAGACATATCTTTAGGAGAAAACTAGGTTGCTCTATCAGTAAATGGAGTTCTTCCAATATAACATCTACAGATCCCCACAATGCTCTGGTTTTTGAGCATTCATTCTGACAAGGCTTTTCTTGGGCATAGTCTTGGTTTGTAGTACATGTGCATTGATACAGAAGGGGCCTAAGCTAGGCAAACTGCATGCAGTGGTTCCTGGTCTGAGCATCTTAATGCAAGTGCAGAGGCCATATATTTGGACAATCACACTTATTACCAAATGACCTAGTTTGCTGATGGATATAATACTTTATTAAAAACAACTGAATAACTTTTTTAATATTCTTTGTTTTGATCATGCAGATAACTCTCCCATTTATTTTCACTTTTGTGTTAGCTGACACAAGCATTGGAAGTATTAATTCTGCAGTAAGTTATTTTTAATACTTGTCATGTACAATGTGCATCACAGACACAGAAGACGTTTGCCCATCAAAATAGATACAGGAGAAACAGGGAAAGGAAGAGACAAGTTCTAAAGTTGTGATGTTTCCATGAAAGTTGGGGAGGGAGAGGATTTCAAGTATTTTTCTTACCCTTTTATAAGTGTTTAGAAAAGGAAAAATGGCCAATCTTACCAATAATCCTGTCACTAATACTCTTCTGCAGCTCACTTAAATATGGTCGCATCTGCTTCCGGACAGATTTCAGTGCCTCCTCCAGGAGCTCTGTCATTCTGAGCCATGTCTGTAGTTTTACTTCAGTGAAGTAGGTGGAGGTGGGAGGTCCATCCTTCTGTTTTCCCAGCCATTCACTAAGGACTGATATTTTTATGCTGGGTGTTAGGCAAAACCTCACTGAAACTGGTAGATGTAACCATTGCCCTTCATTCAGTATAAGTGTAAGAATAATCAAGTTCCTTTATGGAACATTTAGCTGAAATAATAAAACCCACAACCCAAAATGCAGGCACCCAGCAAGGCTTGAGTAGAAGTTAAACCATGTAGCCTCAGGTGTGTCCTTGGAGATTGATATAGCAATGCAGGAGCTGGGTATTGATTTGGTAGAGCTGTGTGTCTGCAGCAGAAACATACAGAGGGAGTTAAGAAGACTGGATAGCATTAGACTGAGAAAAATATCTGAAAGTGTGAGCTTTTGAGCAGAGTACTGCCTGAAAGAGAGTTGGAACCGTGACCAAAGAAACTCTCTCCTGTTTGATTCCTACTATGTTCAGGAAAACAGGACTTTGTACATTCTTAGTAAACAAACAGGACTGGATCAAAGTACCTGACTCCATCATCAATGTCTCTTCCTATCAGAAACAATATGCAAGTCCCCCAAATGTTGGCTAACCACTCTGGTCAAAAGTGGTCACAGTATCATGACAAATTAATTGTGTTTCCTGGTTTACTCTGCTGTAAATTTCAGATAGTTCTGGAGAATTCTGACTTTTATTAGTACTGCAATAAAATGTAATTGACACAACAGGACCCCTTTCAACAGGAGACTGACTGAGTTTCTGGTATCCTGATTACACCTAGGGCTTTCCGCAACTACAAGATGTTGGTAGTGGAGTTTCTGATGCTGAATCAGAAGATCACACCAAGCATAGATTTTTAGTGATCTGTGACAGAATGTCAAACACATCCCCTTTTGAAAGCATAATGGATTTAGCAAATTCAGGTTTATTCAGGACCTGAAACCTCTGCTAATTACACTTTTACATGCATTAGATGGTCCACACAAAACAGGGACCTTGAAGCATCTGAATATAGATGTGGCTGTACCAGACTATCCTCTCTTCCCATCCATTCTCTCTGCACAATGTATACTTTGAGACACCTACCCTTTGACGCTTCTGGCTTTCATTGTGCTAACCTGACAGTTAGACAAATAGTATTACATCAAACAATACTTAGCTGTTCCTGGAATGGAATTTTTAAAATATGGCAGAATAATGTAGCCAAAGTTATAAACCTATAGAATTAGAAGGGAACATAAGGGTCATCTAACCACCTGCCAAGATGCAGGATTTGTTGTGTCTAAACCATCCAATACAGATGGCTATCCACTGGAGGTTTTCAAAAGGAGGCTGAAGGAGGTTCCACAACCTCTCTAGGCAGTCTGTTCCATTGTCCTATTGGTCTTACAGTTAGGAAGTTTTTCCTGAGATTAAATCTAAATCACGATTCTGTAGTTTGAACCCATTGCATCTTGAACCTCAGTGGCAAGAGAAAACACCTTTTCTCCATCTTTTTATGGCAGCCTTTCAAGTATTTGAAGACCACTATCACGTAAATCTGTGATCTGATTTTATAGTATATCACTGGGTCTTTAGTAAACCATGCTAGCCATCTAAAATTGGTCATATACCAACATCCTTCCTCTATACACCTACTTCTACCCCTCATTTTCCAAAAGCAGGTTTAGAATAATTTTCTCTGGTTTTTATCAAATAATTCTTACATTGCTTATGGGCAAAATAAGTCTCTGTATTTTTAAGTGGTAAACAAACCATTTTTCTCTTGGGAAATGCTGACTCAGTTGTGCCACATATCTCCCTTTATAAATGTGTGTAATAACTTTCTGTACTTACTGTGCTGATAAGATCCAGTTGCAATTCCTGTGGGGGTTCTGAAGAGCACACCAGTTAGCTGAGTCAGCTGGGAAAGGACTTCCATCCCTGCCTCTGAAAAGATGCATTCTTTTTTCTAGTTCATAAAATTCTGTATTATTTACATCACTAAAATATCACAGCCACTACAGGCCACTAGCCAATTCTTTTTCTCCATACTACTATTATTCATCTGAAACCAAAAGGAATCTAAACTTTTTTTCAAGGCTAGATGAAAATGTTGTGTCTTTGTGAATCAACAGTACTTTTTATGGTTTTTATCATATTATTCTGAAAACTCTGCTATATTTACCAACAGCATGAAAGATGTCCTGTGTATCTTAACAAAATGATACTGTGAAGGAACAATCACATCCACTAACATGGACAAAAAACTAGAAAAGTTGTTGTTTTTGGCGTGAGATCCCTAATGAAGAAAATAACTCCAGTTTCATTCTAATGTCAATGAAGAGACACATATTGTGAGTTTGTGCGGTCCCTGAGAAGAATAGAATGAATTAAAGATGCACCAGTTTTGAGGTGCATCTTATTCCTTCCAAGACAAGAAAAATAACAAAATAGGAGTGGATACTATTCTTTAGGTCTTGTAATGACCTGCTTGATGCCAGCTAACGGGACGACCCTGCAAGGCTGAGCAAATGGCAGATGTGGGTGCTCAGAAGTCTTTGGACTTGCTCAGCACCTTGCAAGATCAACCTTTAATATTTCCCAAACAGACTGAGGTAATTGAAGAGAATGAGATAAATAGAATATATCTGCCTCTTTACTAAACTCAGCAGCTGTGTGAAACTATTCTGCTTTCTAATGGACCCTGTACACTCATCATTTGTATTATCATAGCACCTATGAGTTCTAGTCATGGAGCAGGACCCCATTGTGCTAGGTACTGTACAAACACAGAACAAAAAGACACTCCCTGCCCCAAATAGAGCTGGTTGAAAGTGTTTCTTCTCCCCTCCTCTCCCACCACCCCCCCCCCCCGGAAAATTGTGACTTTTCTGCAAAGAGCAAAAACTTTCAGACCAAGTCAAAAATTTCTATTCTGAAAAATGTGATTTGTGGAACCAATTTGAAAAGTAATGTTTTAGCTTGGTTTGACGTTAAATTGTGTCCTCCTCAGCCACCACTATGTCTAATGCGAGCTTTGGGTGCCCTATGTCCCCCTTCTCCTCTCTATGCCAGGCTTCTTGGCTGGACTATATCTCCCATGATCCATCAGTCATCCCTCCGTGCATAACAGAAGCCCCATACCTGTGGTGGATCATGAGAGATGTTGTCTAGCTAATTTTAACTCCCGCAAAATTATTCCAGTGTTCAGATTTTTTTTCAACAAAAAGTCAAAATTCTCCACAGAAAGAACCCAATTTTCTGCCAACCTCAATTTCAACAAGCCCTACTCAGGGACAGGATGCAATGGAGTGGGAGATTCTCCATTATGACAGACGTCCAAACAAAACTGACCTGATGCTGCCAGAGGAACAAAGATGTCCACATAACCACCTTCCTCTGGAGACATTACACAACCTAGCTTCTCCCAAAATTCTCTCACTTCAGGACTCAGAATGTTCTCAATACTGATTCTGCAGCCTGAAAAACATTTAAATAAAAGTCAATGAAAGAAATAAAATTTCCAAGAGGGTTTTCATTCTGCTCAAAATTCTTCCCTCCTGTACTCATATCATTACTTCCCTTCCCAGGACTTAACACAGACTTCCCTCAAATCTCTTTTTTAAGGGCAATGTGCTAACTTTCAAAACTGAGCGATTTCTTGTCCTCTATTTCTTTAGTAACTTTTCTCTCTCTCTCTCTCTCTCTCTGTTCCCCCTTCTCAATTTATTTTCTCTGTACCATGTATTCTCTCTCTTCTGGCTATTACTTTTTTCTTTGCGCCTCTGTGTCGGCTTGTTTCTCTCTTTCTCGTCTTCTTTTTATCCCTTATTTAACCTCATGGTCAGACCTTTAGCTACTTTGGACTAGCATCATGTGTCCAATCTCCTTTTTTATGACAGCAGAGATGGCTCTACCATCTCTTTTTGTCATATTTTCTCTGGCTTTTAACTAATTACCAAGCCCTTGATCCTACAAGCTTTTACATCCAGGCAGCCCCCGCTCCTGTGGTGAGTCCTATTGATTACAATGGAAGGTACAGAGGTCTACCTGCCAGAAACAAATTACAGTTGGATCAGTGACCAATTTGCTAGCTTGATTAACTTTTTATTTTCATGCTGTTTCCCCTTTTGGAATACCTAAACATGATATGGCATTGACATGTTCCCAGTTAGTTTCTCTGTTTTTCTCTGCCCCTACCTTGAAGTAAATTGATCTCTCTGGAGTTTCCATCGCTAAAAATCCCTATACTCTTTGCTTTTCGGCCATCCAGAGCCTTTTCTATGTGAAAAAGGAGGCCTTCCAATGTCATTCCGCAATGTTCATACAACACAGGAATCACCCCAGGTTTGATGCTGTCCAGCACCATCTACAGAAATAAATCAGTTCAGACCTTCAATAAATAAATCCTGCTTTTCTCAAAATGTAATTCCACGAGAAAAAAATTATTCTTAATTCAATATTCATTTGTAGAATGCATCACATCATATTATTTTACACAGTAATTATTTACACATAGAAATTCTTTATTCAGCTTTGTCCTATAGCCCCATAATGCCAATGGATATGAGATGATCTCTCTAACAACCTTTATCAGCTAGGCCACCCCTGCAATTCGTTGTGCGTGAGCAGCCTGGCACTCCTCATGAACCCCCAATGAAGTTAATTGTGTCCTATACAGATGCAGCTGTGCATCCACACACAGTGATTTTTAGGATCAGGGTCATAACCTTTACCATGAAACAACAAAACACTGCTTGGGTGGGCAGCTTAGCTTCCTACTTATTTCTCACTGATGCTTTACTGAAACTCAGATTGTATTCAACTTTTTAAATAAATATACAGGATGGGCTGTTTTTGAAGTGTATATCCTGGACTTTTCTTTGATTAGCTATAACACTGAACGTCTTACACAAATGAGTACTTAAACCATATGATTTGGGTTTTTTTACTTCAAATGACATAGTACCAGTGTATTAAAAAATGTGCAGCTCCCCAAACGTGCGCACAGACAGCATTTTTTTAATACAGTTTCATATTAAACTCTAAATTTCTGCATTAGAGATTCATCTAGGCCTGTGGTGCTCAAACCACCCCACCCCTTCCCAGTAATGGAATCTGTCCGTGCCCCTCCCCCCATTACTGGACAGTCAAGGCTTCTTCCGCACAGAGCTTGGGCTGAAGGCAGAGCTAGTGGCAGAATGGGGATGGAGGAGGAGCTGGGGCTAGGGGCAGAGCTGGTCTGCAGGCAGAGAGGGAGTGAGGGCAGAGCAGGATTGGGGGCTGAATGGGGTTGGAGGCGGAGCTGGTCTGGGGGTGGAGTTGGGCTGGAAGTGTGGGGGCTAGCTCCGGCCCCGCTGCACACACCCTGAACATTCCTCCACGCCCCCCTATTGAGAACCACTGATTTAGGCCCATAATATTACTTTACTGTCATTTTAATCTTATGCTTTCCTTTGTTTTTCTTCACTTTACGGTGCGCTTTCGCTGAGACCCTAATCCTGTAAACACTTAATGCGACTACTCGTGAGCAAAATTAAGCACATGTATAAGTATTTGCAGGATTGAGGCTACAGTAGACTCCAGGAAGGATGCTTTCTTTGCAGAGACGGATGAACAGATTGCTGTCTCAGGAACATCCCCCGGATGTAGTTTGGGTACACAGAAGCCAAACTATTCAAAAAAGAGAGAACTTAGAAGAAATTCATACCTCATATGCAGGAATCCTGGATGATATCAAAACCAGGTATGGCTCAAGTGGATATGCAAAACTGCTGTGTTTTTGGTAGACACGCTGACAGTGTTTGTAAGGTAACACAGGGTCGGATCTGCTTCCAGTCACATTCTTTCTACAGAAGGAAAAGCAAAAACTCAGGCAGTATATCCTTTAAAGATTATATTTCTTTTTTACTTTAATGCAGAAATAAAACATTAGGGTATGAAAATACCTGTCTAAACCTCAGTTACACTGAATAGACATGCAGTGCTGTGTTTTGTAAATACATTTACAGCAACTTGTATTATTCTATTCCGTGCCTCCTGAAGGCCACCACTTCTGTGAGAAAATGAACCTTAATCGCCTACTGCCTATTGAGATCACTGAGTTCCAAACACCTACAGGTCAGCCATTTGCACTCTTTTTTGTGTTTATTTTTACGCTATGTCTTAGCAGCACTGGTGATAGGAAAAATATTCCTCAGTGCCCTCATTTGCTCTGTGGTGAAAAGATTTTAAATTTACAATCTCAATATATGTAAAGAACAAATTAATTTCTTCTTTGTAAGTCCACAAAAGAAAATGAATTTTCAGGATCTTCTCCCTAAGTAGGTTTAGCCAATGAAAAGTACAACTCTAGACTTCAAAGTTTTGTCATTAGCCCCCTATCCAGGCTTAGCGTGAAATGGCTCTACAAGGTTCCCATTTTATGGCTGGACCAGCAACATGGTGGTATGCTGCATTATGGGAGAGCCTCTCTAACTTCTTGTTCTCCATATCTTTGAACTTCAGGGTGGTGGCTTAAGACCAGATCAGCTGATCTGGGCCCCCAAATCTCTAAGAATCTCTAAGATCTCTTCAGGCCAATCTGGGCCCAAGAATCTAGAGTGGGAAACTAGTATTTCTGGCCATACCCTCATGCAGAACACCAAATTTCTACCCAACCTCAAGTTTCAGTTCCCTCCCCAAGATTACGCCCAAGTGGTGTCAGTTAAATGGAGGACTTTGCATGAGCCAGACATATCTTCTGCATGCCAGTTCGTGGACTTGCTCCTTCCAACACGGGAGGACGAGCAGCACAGCTTTGAGAGGGAACCTATGTGGTAATTGTTGAGAACTAATGGACAAAGTTGAGCTCCATCAAGTTGTTAGTGTGCTAAAAGCCACCTGACATGACCACAAAGATCTGCAGTTTTGTGTGCTGTTTCCTACAATTTATTCTGTCACCTTTATTAATCGCTGCGTTTTGGGTACTATTTTCTATGTGGTTTTGGAATTATCACCAGCATTTTGAAAATCTTGAGTCCTGCTTACCTTTTGGGCAAAGTTTTTAAGGAGGCCAAAACAAGCTGTTTTTCTGCTGCTAGTTTCATTTCTTCAGAAAGCAGCATTGAAAGAGTATGATTTGAAAGAGCACTCTTTTCCTGAAAGCATTTAAACAAAAATGCTGAGAAAAATATGTATGATGCAGTGTAATAACATATGGTTCAGTAATTACATAATGCAGCAGTTAAGAAATGCTGTCTTGCATCTACCGGTAAAAAAACTTAAACTTATTTTACCAATGACAGACATAAAGTAAGATGTATTTAACTGAGTTTCTCAGAAGAACAATACTTGAGAATATAACTCTAACAGTGGCTCAGACACAATCTTGTAAGTTGTGTAATATGGATGCAAACTAAGACAGTGATCCTATACAGAGCTTCACAAGGATGCGGAGGTTCTTCAGTATTTATAGTGGAGGGTGAAAGAAGATTGTCCAGTAGCATATTTCTTGGGCTCCCATACCGGCTTCATCTAAACACTTTTACTTTCTGTGCTTCCAATGCCTCGCTTTGAACCTCAGCATGTATATTTCAAGGCACAAAGAAATGTTAATTGTACTCAACTGCTTTACAAGTTGGGTTACAGACGGAATCTAGCTGTAATCAGAGTACAGTTTAGTCAAGCATGAAATTAACTGTATTAAGAATAAGTCTGTATGTTTGTCACTTCTGTTTTCCATGGCAAAGATCATGACCTTTAGGGGATTCTAATTTTTTTTAAATAGTTGTTTTACAAGTCTCTTCTTTCAATTTTAACAGCTCTTTTTGATGTGTTTTTTTGTGTGTGTTTTGAAGTCTTAATGTATTTTTAAATGATAAGTGATGGCTATAAATGCTTTTTCCAGTAGAAAATAAGTTTACGAGGAAGCAAAATATTCTGTGCCATGACTTTTCAGACTTTTTATTGACACCCAATCAGTCTTATTTATGAGATAAGAGACACACAGTAGACACAAAGACCAATCCTGCAAAGACATAAAGATATGAGTAACTACCTATCAGAGTAGTCACACCTCTACACTGCAAAAAAAAAAATCCCACGGTAGCAAGTCTTGGAGCCTGGGTCAACTGACTTGAGCTCACAGGGCTTGCACTACAGGACTGAAAATAGCAGTGTAGAAGTTCCTGCTAAGGCTGGAGTCTCAGGGAGGCGGAGGGTCTCAGAGATTGGGATCCAGCCTTAGCAGGAACTTCTACACTGCTATTTTTAGCCTCGCAGCATGAGTCCTGTGAGCCTGAATCAGGTGACTCACACTCTAAGACTTGTACCATGGGTTTGGGGTTTTTTTGTAGTGTAGACGTAGGCTCATGAGCAACTGAGGGTACAAGTCTTTGCAGGAGTGGCTCCCTCACATCAGCCTTCTAGTTGATCAGCCGCTTACACTTGCCAGTATTTACTATAACAAAGCCTGCCACGTAGTGGCACTGTGCACCATTCTGAACTAATAATTATACAAGGATAATAGGATCTCTATGCTTTATCATATATATTTCAGACAAAACATTGTCCACATATTACTTAGGGTCTTGGTGTCCCAGCCTTACTCATGTTACATAGTATCTTACGCCACAAAGTTCTCGTTGGAGGTCAAAAGGGAGTATGCAATGAGTAGGGCAGGGCCGCCCAGAGGATTCAGGGGGCCTGGGGTCTTTGGCGGCGGGGGGCCTCAGCCGCCGAATTGCTGCCGAAAACCCGGCACTTCGGCAGCGGGTCCCGGGACAGAAGGACCGCCCGTCGCAGAATTGCCGCCGAAGACCCGGAGCGGAAGAAGCTCCGGGGGCCCGGGCACCACGAGAGTTTTCCGGGGCCCCCAGAGCGAGTGAAGGATCCCGCTCCAGGGGCCCAGAAAAACTCTTGTGGGGGCCCCTGCGGGGCCTGGGGAAAATTACCCCACTTGCCCCCCCACTCTGGGCGGCCCTGGAGTAGGGCACTTCTCAGCATGACTAAGGGTGGCAGAATAAATCGTGAACCATACTCTGTGCTGACTTCAGTGGGATTACATGAAGCATAAATCAATTAAGAGTTTTAATTGCTTTTAATTAAGTGGAATGTATTTCAAGTAGTTCTGATTTAAACAGGATCTATGTGTTAGCACCGCCAACCTATCTCAGGATTCAGCACTTAATGCTTACATAAAAAAAGAGCAATTTGCAAAGGATAAAATGCAAGTAGATTTGGGGGGAAATTACCCTAATTAGTTGCAAAGCTGCCTGTAGTCTAGCCCGGTCCTGGATCGTCTGGGCCTGACTTGGCTGTAATCGTGTTTTTAAGAATCTCGAGCTCCAAGTCCCACTCATCCAAGGCGGTCGAGCTTTGAATAACTCCTCTGAAAAACAAGTATCACCAGACCCTGCTGTTTAATCCCATGTGTTTCCACTGATGGGTAAGTACACACTAAGGGCTTGTCTACACTACCGCGGTAGTTCGACGGCTGGCAATCGAACTTCCGGGTTCGATTTATCGCGTCTGGTGTGGACGCGATAATTCGAACCAGGAAGTGCTCGCCGTCGACTGCGGTACTCCACGTCAGCGAGAGGAGTACCGCGGAGTCGACGGGGGAGCCTGCCTGCCGTGTGTGGACCGCGTCTGAACCGCGGTAAATTCGAACTAAGGTATGTCGACTTCAGCTACGTTATTCACGTAGCTGAAGTTGCGTACCTTAGATCGAATTGGGGTGTTAGTGTAGACCAGGCCTAACAGGAGTAACAATGCTGTAACTAGGGAAATAATCCATATGAAAATTAGCATGTTAGTTTTACATGGCAGTCTTTAGATTTTATCTAAACTGAGCATCCTGCCTGAAAAGTCCTCCTCATTTTTGGCTAGGAATTGGTCATTCTACTAAAATGAAGTTGTCTTGTATTAATACCTGAAATGAAAGTAGTGTTGACAACCTGAATAGTTAAAAAAATGAGTTCAGTTTAAAAAAATCATACGAATGTTTTAACAGTCATGAGATTAAAAAAAGGGGACTATTATCATTTGTCTTCTGATTTTTGAGGACTTGGGATTCATATTTTCAAGTTTTTTCTCTCTAATCAGAAAGACTAGAAGCCTGCTGTTTAAAAAAGGAAAACTGAGATTCTCACATAATCACATGACTCCAGGTGCTGCAGTTTAGGAAAAATTTCAAATATGAGACTTGAAAGAAAACTTGGGGACTTGACAGCACCGAAGGTGTGGTCTCCATGAAAATGATATGAAAAGTGACATCCTTTCAAATGAATATTCATGAAGAGGGGAGAACCATATTGGCTGAATAAAAATTCACAATCTATATCTAATATCCATTTTGAAGCACTGAGAGGAGAGGAAGGTGATCCCGAACAGTCAACTCATGCCTGACCAACCTGATTGCCTTCTATGATGAGATAACTGGCTCTGTGGATATGGGGAAAGTGGTGATGTGATATATCTTGACTTTAGCAAAGCTTTTGATACGGTCTCCCATAGTATTCTTGCCAACAAGTTAAAGAAGTATGGATTAGATGAACTGACTATAAGGTGGATAGAAAGCTGGCTAGATTGTCAGGCTCAACAGGTAGTGATCAACGGCTTGATATCTAGTTGGCAGCCGGTATCAAGCGGAGTGCCCCAGGGGTCAGTCCTGGGGCCAGTTTTGTTCAACATCTTCATTAATGATCTGGATGATGGGATGGATTGCACCCTCAGCAAGTTCGTGGATGACACTAAGCTGGGGGGAAAGGTAGATATGCTGGAGGGTAGGGATAGGTTCCAGAGTGACCTAGACAAATTGGAGGATTGAGCCAAAAGAAATCTGATGAGGTTCAACAAGGACAAGTGCAGAGTCCTGCACTTAGGACGGAAGAATCCCATGCACTGCTACAGGCTGGGGACCGACTGGCTAAGCAGCAGTTCTGCAGAAAAGGACCTGGGGATTACAGTGGACGAGAAGCTGGATATGAGTCAGCAGTGTGCCCTTGTTAGCCCAGAAGGCCAACGGCATATTGGGCTGTATTAGTAGGAGCATTGCCAGCAGATCAAGAGAAGTGATTATTCCCCTCTATTCGGCACTGGTGGGCCACAACTGGAGTATTGACTCCAGTTTTGGCCCCCACCCCCACCCCCACAGAAGGGATGTGGACTAATTGGAGAGAGTCCAGCGGAGGGCAATGAAAATGTTTAGGGGGGTGAGGCACATGACTTACAAGGAGAGGCTGAGGGAACTGGGGTTATTTAGTCTGCAGAAGAGAAGAGTGAGAGGGGATTTGATAGCAGCCTTCAACTACCTGAAGGGGGGTTCCAAAGAGGATGGAGTTAGGCTGTTCTCAGTGGTGGCAGATGACAGAACAAGGAACAATGGTCTCAAATTGCAGTGGGGGAGGTCTAGGTTGGATATTAGGAAACACTATTTCACTAGGAGGGTGGTGAAGCACTGGAATGGGTTACGTAGGGAGGTGGTGGAATCTCCATCATTAGAGGTTTTTAAGGCCCGGCTTGACAAAACCCTGGCTGGGATGATTTAGTTGGTGCTGGTCCTGCTTTGAGCAGGGGGTTGGACTAGATGACCTCCTGAGGTCCCTTCCAACCCTAATATTCTATGATTCTATGATTAATATAAAATACACTGATTATACTTGTAGACAAAAATCTCAGTATGCTGAGCACTGTTTAATAAAAGTCTGATATATCATAGAATTCCATGGAAATATTTGTTAGTCTTAGGTTTTGTTTAAATAATTTTATACAAAACCTACATTTTGACCTAAACTTGACTAAAGATTCCTTTAATGCATTGACTGTATTTGTAGCTATAATTAAAATTTCTACAGGACATCCTGGTACTGGGTCTTTTCCTTTCAAACCTTCATTTTCCCAAATTGGAAAGCAATATGTACCAGACTGGAAAGAAATTAAGTCTGCAACCACACACTGACAGTTTGAGGTTTCTATTATTTCCACAGTTGAGATGTATTAGAAACCCCACTGGACACTGTTAAGCCTGAACATTTTTATCGCTTTCCTACAGGCATATCAAATATGACTAAACAATCATATAGAAGAAACAAAATCTATCGTTATAGTTACCATTTTCAGCTCTTACCCTTTTGATATTAAAAATTAATTTAAAAAAAATCTGCAAAGATAAGTTTTCCTAAAGAAAAGGTCTTTGACTACCTGAATACTTTAGGCTGCTTTATCACTTTCAGAAGACAGTGTTTGTTATTTTAACATTAATCTCAGAAGAAAGAGATCATTATTTTAATTCTACTGACTCTTGTGTAATGCTAATCTCTCCCGAATAATTTTTCGTAGCCATTTTTCTCTTAGCCTTTCTTCCTGCTCCTCATTTTCAGCTTTTGGTTCATTGAGGGTCCCATAGATTTCAGTGGCTTCTCTTGGGGTGAAGTAATCTAAGCTGGAGGCACAGGCAATATAATGTCGTTTCCAAGCACTGTATTCGTTGTCTGCTGGAGTGTAGGGCAGGAACCATCCAAACTTAACACATTTTGGCACCCACAAACAGTCCTTAAGACAAGAAAGAGGTAAAAGAGAGACAATAAACTGTGATTGAGGACAAAAAGCTTTCTATTTAATCGTGCCACTGATCACAGTATAAATCAAACATGGGACCTCCATAAATATGTTACAGTGAGATATCCTTTTTTATGAAGTGCCTAGTACTTTTACAGAACAAATAAAAATACATGATCCCTCTGTCTCAAAAAGCTTGCTGCAACATTTTCTTATATGCAGAGGCCAGCAGTGTTCCTGAGGATGAATAATCCGATAATGTCAATGAATTCAATTGAGAGAGGTGCATTTGTTTTTGTTCTTTTTTTTTTTTTAAAGGGGCAGAGGGATGTTTTATTTTAAAATTCTTCATTATCTGGAAATCTGCAAATAAAGGCATTGTCTTGTCCCCTTGATTGTCATATTTGGCACTGGGGAACAGAAAGAGTAGGCTAATTGTTGTACCACTTTGAGCAGCTTCTGAAGATAAATATTTATTTTATTTTAATTTCTATAAATAGTATTGAGCCTATGCTATACACTATCTATTTAGACAGATCATAATAAGCAGTAGCATTTTGGAATATCCACAATGCTAAGCCCTGGCATTATCAGTATCCATAAGGCCACAGCAATGTCTATAAATTACAGAGTTTAGGACATCCAGCTAACTACATAGCTCTAAATTACATATTGTGTTCTGTTGCTTGATGTGTGCATTTAAAGACCAAAGCCAAAGCAGGGTTAAGTATAGAAGCAAAACAACAGAATGAAATGTAGAATGAGAATTAGTTTCTGACAAGAGAAAATATAAATGTCTTTATGTGTAATATACTCTTAGTGATTGAGATGTTCTTGCTAGGGTTGGATGAAGTTGGTTCCAACAATTTATCTGTTATAGTGAATTAAATAGAGCAAAGTTTAAAAGGTTATTTTGTCAAGTGCGTGAAAGAGTTGAAAATTTGGCTACAGAAGATCTTTCTAATTATTCTTAAGTATGCTAGACAGATACATGAAATGCTTCAGAAGGTTGAGCATTTATCTGAGTGCTGTACAAGATACAAAATTGCTTTGGCAAATTTATGCTATTTACAACATGCTGTTCCAGATTTCCCATTTCATATATGTAGTGCCCCTTAAAAGCGCTGCAAATGTCCAGTTACAGGTCCTATTCCTATCAACATCAATAAGAAAATTCTTCTTGATTGCCATGGGAGTGGGACCAGGCCTACAATGAACAGACCTGTTCAGTTATAAACTTCCAGTGCCAGTTGACTTGGGCAGCTGCACACAGCTCCCTGGGGCTGAGAAAGGAGAAGATGTACAGAGATATGAAACGTGGCAGCACTCTGGTGAAATCCACTTTGGTCACTGGAATCCTCTCTGCAAACCAGTTTTGGGTAAACCTGTAAAGAGACAGATATTCACCGTAGTTAAAATCCTGTTGAGATTCTATTGTCACTCTATTGGTCTTCCCTTTCAGAAAACCTGAGATCTCTTTGAAGAATATTGTCAGGAGTGAAGTGATTCCTATGAGGGCATCATTTGCAAAGTGCTTTGGGACCCATTGGGAAGGGATTAAAGATGCATTTAAGTCTAATTAGTTGGCCATTTCTCTATTGATAGTGTCGCATCTCAGTGACATAATGCAACATTTTGAGAGCAAATCTAGACTTTTATGTAAAGAGGAGCATTGCATTATTGCAACTAGTGAACTGTACGTCTTGCAAAACAAAACTATGCCAAGAGTGTGGTCATTTCAACAGAACCAATTATGTTTATTCCAGGCCCTTATATCACTGAGGTTTGTTTTATCGCTCTGCAGAAGACTGGAAAGAGTTGAACCTTTGTATTTGTAGTAGCCATTTTCTATTATTAGTAATCCAGTAGGTCAGGAGTTTGAGATGACTCAGTAAAGAAACTATTAGATAATATGCCTATTATCCTGGGCCTGTGTGAAAAACATATAAATCAATCCAGATGTTTGGATGGAAAAGGATCCAAGGAAATAGTTAAAGATCTCTCTCATTTTTAATAATCACAAGTGGTCAGGAAACAACTCTGCAAACCCTTACTCGCACACAGACCAATAGAAGTCAGTGTATAAGGGATGTCATGATTAGGCCCTTATTTTATAAGAGCTGACTAATACCTGGTCTTGTCCTGTGAGATACAGAGCTCCCTCTGCTCCCATTAGGAGCTAGTGGGAACTTTTTGTGTTCAGTACCTTGCAAAGTTGACTCTTTGGGACCTGATTCTGCAATATATAACGTGGAGCAGGCTGTTATGCCCACATGGAGCCACACTGACTGCAGTGAGTCTCTGCACAAGCAAAGCAGTCTGCCCACCCACCTTATAAACTGCAACATCCAGGTCATAGATTGTGAGGTCTTTGGGCAAGGAACCTTGTTTGCTCCATGTTCTTCACAGCACTGACCACACGGACAGTGCTCACCCAATAATATATAATACTAGATGGAAAAGCTATAGAGGTTGTTTTTTTCTTATTTCCCTACTGATGCAATGAAAAGGGGAAAAGATGGAGAATCTGGAGCCTCCAGCCTGCACTAGACACACATCTATACACTCTCTCACACAATTTTGCTATAATCTTAATATTTAGGTCTTATGAATCTGACAGTGTCCTTATTAAACCAAACTGACGGGACCCTCTTACAAAAGAAAGATACAATTTCAGGTCCCAATCAGATCCATCTGGGCAGCCACCTACACTAGTGTTAAACCCTCAAGGACTTCACTGGGATTCCGCAAGGGTATAGGGATCCCCCGGGCAAATCTCATTACAGAATTGGTTTGCTATGTGTCTTATGTGACATCCATATACATACATACCTGCTTGTTTGGAAAGACGACACTAAGCTAGTCCTTGTAACAAACTTACTTCAGTTGTGATTTACTGCATCTCATCAACATTCTGTGGAGGAATTGTTTGCGCTGCTTGTCTGTCCACAGATCAAACCAATGGCTTATGAGACTAACTCTTTCCTCAAAGAGCTGAAAGGAAACAGAGTATTTCCATATCTAGTTCAGTATGGTATGCAGACCTGTACAAGTCTGATGCACATATAATGATACTTAGGGAGGCGCTGTGACCCTAGTAGATAGAAATTAAACTTGGCAGGGGTGCTGGAACAATTTTTATAGTAGGGGTGCTGACAGCCATTGAACCAAACTGTAAACCCTGTATATGATGGAAAACCCTTCAAGCCAGCGGGTGTTGCAGCACCCCGCCCCTGAACCCGTAGTTCAAGCACCTATGAATTGGAGGCTTGTCTATATGACAAGTCACTGCAAGGCATGCCACAGTGTGAATCTACAGCTTGCACCACAGTCATGTCCTGCACAGATACTGTAACAACAGATTTTGCTTTTAGCTGTTTTGAAAAACCTTGCAGCACTTTGATAGAGACCAGAAAAAGGGGTTTAAATATTGTAAAATTTCACCTCTTCCCCATTGATATAATTAAGGTGGTGATAGTATCAGGACACTTTGACTTGCATAAAAAAGCAGTTAGTTTTAAGATTAAGGCTTTAGATAGATTACTATTACTACTGTAAATAGTGATAGTTTAAAGTTAGAAATCCAAAATAGCGGATACAATAATCCTCTATGAAAGACAGGGTTAGGGTATGGAAAGTTCCAGCAACTAATAGGGAATGACTCAGCATTTCTCCCAAGACCTCAAGGAGAGGAGCTTAGCTATCTTAAAATAAGTATGACATAATGGGGAGGAACTAGACAAAAAAAAGCAATTATGCTAATATCTGGAAGCTGATTGGCTGAGATGGGCTAATTAAGTTAATGAGCAGACCTTGAGACAGAGCAACCAGCATATAAGGCCCACAGCTAGCAGGCTGAGTGTAGTGGGTTTGAGGCTTTATAGAAGAACAGAAGCTACCTGAGAAGAACAGAAAATTCCCAAAAGTAGCCACCTGGGAAAGCAGCAGCAGCAACTCTAAAGGTCACCACAGCAACGGCTGTCATAGCAACACAATCAGCAGTCCCTGCCAGCAGCAAAAGCCAGCAGCAACTGCCGCTACGCCCGCAGCCTGAAGCAGCAGCAGCAGTTAGGAGAATTGTGGCCTTGACAATCACCATCCTTAACATCATTACAGACCGATCAGAAGAACCATTAAGACGAACCAGAGGGAACTTGGGTACGAGTGCAAGTCTGATTTTTCCATGTATTGTTAAGGAGTGCGTGGGTCTGCCTGTAAATAAAGCTGGATGCCTGTGTTCTGAGTGAAATCTCCCCTACCCATCAGGTGACTGCTTGTCCAGAGCTCACAGGATGTTAAAAGCTTAAATGTTAGATGTTAAATATTAAGGTATTAAATGTTAATATTAAGTAAATAATTCTCTCTAAAACTAGAATATTGTAATGATTTATAGAGGTAATGTATATTATGTTGTATTAAGTATGTTACTGAATTGCAGCATTTAGGCTAGAGCCTTGATGTATACAGGGCCTCGTGTGTGTGTGTGTAGATAGATTATCTATTACATTGTAACTGTTATATGATCTACATATCCTGTGTAGTCCGTGTCTTTTATTTTGTTCTGCCGCTTCATTCCTAGACATAATTCTACTGTGTTTTAATATGTTTTATATATTCTTTCTTCTATTAAAAATACTGTAATTACTTATTTTTGAAAACATAAGAATTATTTATTTTTAAAAGCATTTCTGCTTGGGTGTGTGTCAGTCCTTGAGCGGAAGGCTGTACCTGTTTGCTTTCAGGAGTTGGTAAGATTAGCTTGCTCTAGGGAGCCCTCTGTGGGTCGGAGACAACCCTCCTGATAACACACTGGCAATTCCTTTCAGGCAGGCCACAACCTTTTTACCCTTTTATTAAATTAAAAACGCTATTGTAGGCTAATTTAATTGGCATCTAAAATTTAGGGTAACAATACCGCTACAGTGCAGTGGAAGTCCTGGAGTGCAGCTTTACTACGTTTTCAAGTAATAGTACGCCTAGCCACACTCTAGGACTTGCATTGTGCTGCAGCAGTGACCACATGGGCCATTACTGTCTGGTAAACTGTAGAGTCACACCCTGGCTTTTCGTGCAGTAACTTGCCATGTAGACAAGCTCTGGGACTCAGGAGACTTGTATTCCTACCACTTCTCCTGCCACTGACGAGCTTTGTGACCCTGGGCAAGTCACTTCATCTCTGTGCCTGTTTCACTTCCTATCCTTTGTTTAAGCTCTTCAAGGAAGGGACTGTCTCTTACTTAGTGTCTGAACTGTGCCTAGCCCAATGGAGACCAGATCTCAGTTGGAGCCTCTGGGAACTAGCTACTGTAATACAAAAATGAGCAGTCCAAAGGGACAGATCATTACTGAGAAGCTTACTCATTGTTCTTATCCTTGTGATGTATGGTTAAACCGTCTACCTATTTTAGGTACAGTAACTCCTCACTTAAAGTCGGCCTAGTTAACATTGTTTTGTTATTAGGTTGCTGATCTATTAGAGAACATACGCGTTTAAAGTTGCGCAATGTTCCTTTTTAAGGTTGTTTGGCTCGCTCCGCTCCGACCTGACCCTTCTCCCCAGCAGGAGCGCCGGGTGGGTGGAACGGGGCAAGCCCCCGTGCCCCAACCCTGCTCTCCGGCAGGAGTGCCAGGTGGGCGGAGTGAGGCAAGCTCCTGTGCCCTGACCCCACTACGCCCCTGCCTCAACCAAGCTTCACAATCATCATTGGTGAGTGCAGTATTACATTGTTTAAAAATATTTAAAACTTATACTGTATATGTATATAACGTCTTTTGTCTGGCAAAAAAAAAAAAAAATCCCTGGAACCTAACCCCCCCCCATTTACATTATTTCTTATGGGGAAATTGGATTCACTTAACATTGTTTCGCTTAAAGTAGCATTTTTCAGGAACATAACTACAACATTAAGCAAGGAGTTACTGCATTTTTAGAGCAGCAATCACTGCAATGCCAAGGACTGGTGTATTTCTCTAACGGTCCTTGAAAGTGACATTTTGACAGAGGGCAGACATCCATGTTTGTTCTCCTTGGCCCTGGGTTCTGTGGGAATGACACTCTCCCTTCGTTCAAAACCCCTGTACAAGAAGGACATCAAACTTAGTTGTTCTCTGAGGATAGAGTCCACTTCCTCTCACTCTCTCTACTCCAATTGCTGCTCAACAAAGGTCTTTTATTCTTTTACACTTTCCTCTGCAGGTAAAATGAGCAATTTCTGAGTATATAGGCCTAGTGCCAGGCCACAGCAATTGATGTGGGATGAGGCTTTTGGGAATGTAGTCCCATTTAGTTAAGAGCAGTATCTGATTTGATTAAAGGAAAAAGAAAATTTGTTTATAAAACATTGAACCAATATATAAATCTGTAATTTAAAAAAAAATTAAGACATGTAATGCCATTATATCTGACTACAGTTATAGAGCCAATCATGTGCTTGCTAATGGCCATAGTGCTTATTGCTATGAATAGTCCTTGATCCTCACAGGCGTAATTGCTGTCAGACATCATGGCAGTAAATACTTTGCCTTGAGGAAGCAGTTTATTGTTTTTAGTATTGTAGTAGCTCCTAGAAGCCATGGCCCCACTGTGCCAGTAACAGTACAGAGATATAACAGACAGTCCCTGCCCCATTTCTGTTAAATGACCAAAGAAAATAAAGGTGCGGCAGTTAAAAGACGAGGAGATGTTGATGTAATGTTTTTAAAATGTGAGGTTGGTTTCTGATCTAATTTACATGAGCATGCATCAGTGCATATATTGTACGATGTTTCCTTGTCATTGCATGTGCAAGTGGGGGTTGGCGGTGTTTCAAGATATGTGGCAATGTACACCAATGCATTTCATGATAGTTGAGCCTATGAAAATGACTTCTACCAGACTGTAACTTACCTGCTTATTGAATGATTTGTTTGCGATAGGTGTCCAAGTGCTGAACCTTGTGTTCAAGCTCCCAGTAGTCTGGATTTTACTGGAAGACACTCTGATGGACTTCACTGTGTTTTCTGCAAGGAGTCCTAAACACTCTAGTTGCCACTGTTTAACAGTGTGGGGACTTGGTGTTACATAAGCTGTGGTCATCATTGCATCAGTAATACTTGGTTACACCAGCTTTGTTAGAGCCACCTAGAAATTCAGTGAATTAAAGAGATATGTGACGTGATCTAATTAATTCTTAGTAGATGGGTGCAAACTGTAGAATTCAAACTTGGATTCAGATCTGAAGCCCACTCCCAACTCCCACTATGCTCAGTGGGGTAGTTAAATCCAGAAGCCTGAACCCAGGCCCATTTTATATATTGTTTGTGTCTTAAAAATACTTTGCTGTCAATCTTATATCTTGCAATCTTAGGCTAGGTCTACACTACCCGCCTGAATCGGTGGGTAGAAATCGACCTCTCGGGGATCGAATTATCGTGTCTCGTCGGGACGCGACAATCGATCCTCGAATCGACGCTCTTACTCCACCAGCGGAGGTGGGAGTAAGCACCGTCGACGGGAAGCCGCGGAGGTCGATTTTGCCACCGTCCTTACAGCGGGGTAAGTCGGCTGCGATACGTCGAATTCAGCTACGCTATTCGCTAGCTGAATTTGCGTATCTTAAATCAACCCCCCCCGTAGTGAAGACGTAGCCTTACCTATGTTTAGATGAGGCAGCTGGGTAAAGGGCATCAGTGTGTACATAAGCAGGCCAATGCTTGAGCTGTGATTTCATCAGATCACATAACTGAGATTGGGACTGGTCAGTAAGAACCTAGATGGGGGACTTCCCAAGAAACCCAAGCTACCGAAGGAAGTTCTGTTGCCTCAATAGGTGGCAATCTGTCCTCTGTCATATGAACCAATGATCTGGTGTGACTCTTATGGCTCCTATTCTTGTGTGGATGCCTTCTTCTAGTCATTACAAATTCCCTGGGAGTTTTTTTGTATAGAGAGGGGTAGCTTCCCTATTGTTCTTGCCAAATTATAAATTGAGTAATTAGTCTACGTATGTACAATTCTCTTGTCACCATTCCCTTTTAATACCTTTAAAATTAATGTTGGACTCATGAAAACTGCAAGAACTGTAATCCTGGAGACCAATGAATTCTATTTTCAAAATAAATATTTACCTAGTATTTACTAGGTACAGGTGGGTTGTGGTGGTGCATACTTCCCCCACATCTGTCCACCACTGTATCTCAACCATATGCTAGAAAGCTGCCATTTCTGTGTGTGAGTAGTTTATTCCCCATACCCATTCCGTGCTTGGTCCCTCTCTGATAACAAGGGGACTTATTATGGTGAGGATAGCAGATTTCCTCTGGTTTATGGACCTAGTACTGCTGTTTCTAATGCTAGGTCTGTTTAAGTTCCCCTTCCCCTCTCCCTTTATGGAATCCATGTCTGGTCTTTACTGAATAGCCACTGATGAGATGGCACTTTGTCCCTATTTTAAATTGTGCTATAAAAGGTGTGCTGAAATCTCGTCTCCCCACGCTGCTTGCCTGCAAATTACATTTGCATTTTCATCTCTGCACCAGTTTTCATTTAAAAAAAATACCTCACAATTTCTCTGGCAGATTAATGTAACCTTCTTGCCCTCTTAAAAGTTCTGATCTCTACCCTCTGCTACAAATCAATCATGCACAAAGTACCTGGAAATTATGAAAAACCTAGAATGTTCATTTTTGGTTTAGTTTTGAAATCTTTACAGCTGTTGCTCTGCAGCCTATATGATCAGGCCTGCAGGACATTACTCCCTACTCTTTCTATTAACATTAATACAGCAAAACTAAAATGCAAAGCAACCCACTTTTCCCATAGAACAGGGAGTTCATAGTCTATTGAATGCTTTACCTCTAGGAGAGGATACGTCTTGCTTTTCCTTCTGAGCAAGCCGCTGGAGAGCTGCCGTGGAAGCTGGAATTACTGCTGCGTTGGATGAGGGTCAGTACTCCCCATCTCCATAGGAACTGCACAACAAGCTACACCTTGGGCTCCCAGCCAGAGCTTGACTCAGGCTACTGTTGCCTTGTGTGCCCCTCCCCTAAAGGGGAAGGACCTACGGCACAGCTTCAAATCTCAGTGTGGGCTCACTTCCACTAGACTTGCAGCTGCCCATACACCGTGTAGTGACGTGACCATGGAACCATCTCTTGCATTCCTACTATAACAGACCCTTTACCCCACATTTGGCAGTGACACAGCAGAATTGGGCTGCAGCACTCCTGAACAGAAGGGAATGGCACTGGTTTGTCCCAGTGTAGGACAGGCCAAATGGAGAGCAGCATAGTTGTACCAAACTACAGCATAGCACCATCCATCCAAACTAGCGTACAATGGGACAACCTACCACTATTGCAAGTGAGTCAGAACTAAAGGCCAGCATCTCTCAACTAGGGAAATCTTTCTGAGTGGGGAACCATTAGGTGGGCACAGCTTTTGTAGAACTAGGTAAGCTTATCCTAATTGTAAAGGTTGAGAAACTGGAACACAAGTTAAGGAACTTCCCTGGGGCCACAAAGCCAATCAGTGGCAGTATAGGAAATATAAACAAGGTTTATATTACTGACTCCCACAATGTTGCAATGCTAACTACCTTTATCTCATTCAAAGTGTGCTTCAGAAGTGTAATGCTTTGAGGGGCACAAGTGAAGGAGCAGGATATTTTTTAAGCTGCTCCCCAAATCTCCACTGTTGATCAAAATGTTGATTAACTTTGTTTGCAGCTATACAGTTAAACAGTAATCGTTTTGGCAAGAGTTTTGTTCTGAGCTAATAACTTATTTGTGGCACCAACTACACAACCTGGAATTTTGCCTAGGATACGGTAACTTATTCTTACACTGTAGCTTGCCCACAATAACAGTAAATGTAAGTGAAGTAAAGAACACCCTAGTAGAACCAACTCCTTCAGGTGACATCAACCATCTTATGAAATATTGATTTTCTTGTTACTAAATCTCTTTGCTACTTGAAGTCTGAAGAGACACTGTTAAAGTTGACAAGCTAAAAATCACAACCATCTCCTTTTAAATATATGTATATTCTATTTCCTCAGCTCTCCTGCAGTAGTACATACTACTTGAAGACAGCGTTCAAATAGTTTCTACATAAAAATACTACACTCCTGCTTGCAAAAAGTTTTAGAGCTAAAAATCCTATGTACAGCCACTGTCTAGTTATTGGCTGACCAAAGTCTGACAAAGCCTTGGGTACACTTTCTTTTGTGGTCAGTGTATTGTGCTCCCAGTTCCTCTCTACACTGTCTTGGGAGCGGAGTAGTCTGCTCACAACCTCCCCAGAAGACATCCATCAGATTAGGAGTTAGGGATCTTCCGTGATGGCAAACTCTTTCTAAAAAGTCTCACTGACAAAGGGAACTGTGAAGTAAATCACAGTGGAACAAGGGAAGTTTGGGGGAAGGACTTTACTAGGAATCTGATGGCTTAGTGTGGAATTTGGGCTTCTAGGTGGGAGAAGGAAGGGAATGCCAGTACTTTACTTAGAAGGTCAAGAGTTGGCCTTGCTTTCAGTGGGGATTATGGTATCTAAAGCCTCCTCCTCACAGAGTTGGAGTTTCTGTTTAGAACTTTAGGAATCAGACAAAGCTACAATTGATTCAGAAGGAAAGAGGTGGGAGCTCATGAGGCAAAGAACTCTGTTATTTCAATGAACGTCTATGGAATCCTCTTCTCTGAGTGGGACTTGCACAGAATTTGAACTTTTTCTCCTCTGTCCCAGGCACTAGTAATATGGATAGATCAAGAGCTCAGAAGACCCAAAAGGGAAGGGAGAAAAACTTCAGTCCTGCTATAGAACAAATGCACACAAAAATGGAATCTGAATAAACAGTTTAACTACACGTTAGAACAAATGCACCACTGAGTGCACATTTTCACATGCCCTGGTAGAAGTTTTGAGCCATCACGTAATCAGTCTTTGCACAAACACAGGCTTTCTCTGTCCATGTTCAAGAAATGTAGCAATTTGTATGGGATTTGGGCTCATGCTGCTATAAGGCAGGAGCAGGTTTCAGAGTAGCAGCCGTGTTAGTCTGTATCCGCAAAAAGAACAGGAGTACTTGTGGCACCTTAGAGACTAACAAATTTATTAGAGCATAAGCTTTCGTGGGCTACAGCCCAAAAGATTCAGCTTGATTGTACGAAAGGAACATTGTGTGGGGTAGATTTGTGCTTATTAGCTATGGGCCTGCTTTGTCAACTGTGAATCCATCAGTAAAACATCTTCAATACTGAAATATGTATCGTAACGTGTGCTCCACAAAACCTGCCCGTAGAAGCACTTGTTAGAAGCAGACCTCGTTACTGGGCATGTGTTGAAGGTCAGTGTTTATTGTTGCAGACTCTCCCCACTCTTGAAATAACTAAAAATAGGGAACAGCCATTAACCCCCCAAAAAGGGAGACTTTACTAAACAAAAGAAGTTAATGGAAAGCAAAGTAGTGTAGAATGGATTTATTATGGAGTGACAGTGTTTAAGTATTGCTGAAAATTCAAAATTGTCAAAACCAAATGACATGGACTTCCAGTATGTATTCCAATTCTAACTGGGTGAAATTTTAAAGTGGTTGACAGAGCAAGGGAAAAAATTGACTTTGTAAAAATTGAGACCATACAAGAGCTCTTTCTCTGACCATAATTAAACAGATGCTACACTTTTTAACATAGTGTATGGCACAATTTAATGGTGAACAAAACACTCTAAAGGGTGTTCAGATTGTCTACATACTAGGCAGGAAGGCAGCTACAAAAAAACTTCACTGCTAGCTTTGTCAAAATTGGAGTAATGTAATATGTACATATATAAATCCAACAGATATATGAACAACACTGAGAATGTACTTTCAAGTTTTCCCCAAACACTTTATATTAAATAAGGCATTAATACAAAGCATAGCAGCACACCATTGCAGTTAGATCAATAGATTCCAACCCTGATATATCGCAGTGCTCAAATCTGCTAACAGGAATGTGTGAAAATAATCACTTGCATTTGCATTTTAATTCTTTGTTGTGGAAAATGAGTAAGAATCTAGATTCCATTGGAAAAATAAAGACATGACTTCTTGGAGAGGTCTCTAAATCAAAAAAATCTACACTTTTAGCTGGTGGAGGTATTTGGGATATCTTGTGCATCTGCTAAATGAAGTTTTTGTCTGGAACAAAGAGTTAAGAAATTAAGTTTTCATATGATAACACAAGAGAATTTACCTTATGAATATCTGTATTATACCGATATTTAATGTTTGTAAAGTATGATAGATTTCAGATGACATAAAAGAACAAAATATTACACATGGCCTGACATGCTAGAATATCAATACACATTGGATGCAATTATACACAAGGTCGAAGTTTACATGTGAGAGGGAAAAAACAGTATCACAAGTCATCTTAGTGCTAAGCACATTGTCACCAATTTAAAAATAAATTAAACCTCTTCTTTTTTATTGCAATTACAAAATAGCCTGATCCAAATATTTTCAATAAAATGCAAATAGTAAAAATGAAATACATGTTTAATATTTTCCTTGCCTAAAAAAATAAGTTTAAATTTAGAGACTATTAACAAATCTTAAATGGGAAGATTGAAAGAATGGAGGCGTGCAGGTATCTAGAAGGGCACAGCCCTGGTCCTGTGCGTTTACATAAGAAAATGTATTAAATAAGTCTCTTAGAATACAGACCATTCACTATTAATTTGAGGACATTTGAAATCCTCATTAAAATACTATCCTTATATTAAAAGATGCTAACTCAGATCAGTTGCTTATATAATTAGAGCCCAATGAAACACAGACATTTTAGAACCACTTTTTCTGACGAGAGCAGGAACAGTTATGCCATGAATTTCTGTAAACGTTGTAACATAGTAAATGAGTTATAGCAGGGGCTGATTTCACTAAATATCAGTAAGGCTGCACAACAGTTTCCAATAAATCCTACTCAAATTCCAAAACATACACCTTTGGGACTGAAATATTTCACACTTGGCCTCTGGCTTGGTGAAACATTTTGGAAAGTTCTTCTCTCTCTCTCTCTCTCTCTCTCTCATCTACTTATATCAGGGGCGGGCAAACTTTTTGGCCTGAGGGCCACATCAGGTTTCCAAAATTGTATGGAGGGCCAGTTAGGAGAGGCTGTGTCTCCCCAAACAGCCAGGCATGGCCCGGTCCCCACCTCCTATCCGACACCCCTCCCCCCCCGCTTCTCGCCCCCGACGGCTCCCCTGGGACTCCTGCCCCATCCAATCCCCCTGTCCCCTGACTGCCTCCCCCGGGACTCCTACCCCATCAACCCCCTCCATTCCCTGTCGGCCCCCCCAGTACTCCTGCCCCATCCACCACCCCCTGCTCCTGTCCTGACCACCCTGGACCCACCACCCCTGACTGCCCCCTGCTGCCCCATCCAACCCCCCTCTCATTCCTGACTGCCCCCCCAGGACCCCTGCTCCATCCAACCCCCCTGTTCCCCGCCCTCTGACCGCCCCGAACCCTATCCACCCCCCCCACCATCCCCCAAACTCCTCTGCCCTCTATCCAACCCCCCACCCCGCTCCCTACCCCTTTACCGTGCAGTGCAGAGCACTGGTGGCGTTATAGCTGCGCCGCCCAGAGCACCGGGTCAAGCTGTGGCTCTGCAACTGTGCTGCCTGGCCGTCCAGAGCGTTGCGCCGGCGGCACGGCGCACTGAGGCTGCAGGGGTGGGGGGACAGCACGGGAGGGGCCGGGAGCTAGCCTCCTGGGACAGGAGCTCAGGGGCTGGGCAGGAGGGTCCTGCAGGCCGGATGTGGCCCGCGGGCTGTCGTTTGCCCACCTCTGACTTATATGGTCCTTGTTACTGTTGTATCTGAGCACCTTATACTCATGGATACATTTATGATCACAACACCCCTGCGAGGTAGGGGAACACTATCATCCGCATTTCACAGACAGGGAAGTGAGGCACAGAGAGATTAAGTGACTTTCACATAGGAAGTAGGTATCAGAGCAGGGAATTAAACAGTGTGTCTCAAGTCCCAGGCTGATGCCCTAACTACTGGACCATCCTTCTGCAATGGTTAGGAGGCTTACAAGAATGGAAATGACAACTTAAGGTAATATATACATTAATATAAATGTAAGTTATTTAGCTGGTTATTTGCAGCTGTTAATGCTTAGGCATTTAACGGTAACGCTGCAATTCTGTATTTTGCATATTTCAGTGATCTATGTTATAAGTTTGTGTGCAAGTTTCCTCCTTTGACAGGAGCCCTAAAAAGTGTTGTGGAAAACTGAAGAATATTAGAATTGTTTTGCCCTAGTATCAGCAGGACAGAACTCCATTCCTGAACACTTTAGGAGGCATATTATTATGCGTGGCTGCTCCAGAGTTCCCAGCCAAAGCAGGTAGTTTATATCAAGGTCTGCACTCAACTGGCTAAACAGTCTTTTTTCTCAACATGTCCAGTCTAAAATTTTATACTTCAGCTATGACAATTTTAGATATCTGTGTCTGATGTACCTTTTTCTTTCAAAGTGTAAACAGAAACAGTTAATGAAGAAATCTTTAAAGAAATAGCCTATTCACAAAGTTTTGTTTAGATCTACAGCAACCTACACTTTGAGTGTTACAGGAAAGCCATCTGTAAACTAGAGGGATCTGAAAACATGACATACTACAGCCCTGAATTTCAAAAAGAAGCACTGTTAAAATCCATTTTAACTCTCCTGAGCTACAGAACATCTGTGAAATGTATTTTCTGGAAATTTAATAGTATAATTTTGGTTCTGATCAACTTTTTATTGCAAAAATGTTCACCAAAAATGACATTTAATAAAAAGGATACATAGAAGAATTCAGTTCTTCCAGCTGCAATATAAATGAACAAAGTATGAGAAAAAACACTGTAGTTATAATTAATCAAGTAAACATGTCAATAATACAATTATAAATGGTACTAACACATATTTAGGGTCTGTTGCAAAAAAATTAAACAAACCCTTCATGATAGTACTGTAAGTTTAAAAGCAAGTGTAGCTCTACACTAGGAAGTTTTGAGAAATTAGACTTTTTGGATATTTAACAGTTTTCCTGTTTATCAAAGAAGGCACCAGAGGAAAAAAAAAAGATTGATACATTTAGAATACACAGGTCCAGATAATTCTCTCTCTCTAGTCTCTACTAGGTGTGGCAGAGTACAGAAAGAACACAGGGAAGATGGTTCAGCTCGCTGATGCTCAGGCTGGTTCTACATCAGCCTAAGCTCTGAAACAGTTTGCAGGACCTTAAAGGAGGCTCTAAACTGCACAAACTGGTAGAAGCGCCACAAGGAGTCGTCTGAATAAGAGGGATGGACAAGGCACTTGTATTTCCTCAAAATTAATGCTGAGGAAGTAGAATCCTCGGCAGATATGGGAAATATCCTGGGTCATTAGAGTCACATTTTTCCGCAACACATTTAAACCTAAATTCCTGAGACCCTAAGGTCTTCAAGTTGTATAGAAAGAATACCACTGCTGGATCCTGTTCTTGAACCAGATCTAATTCTGTGAAGCAACTTCAGTGGAAGACGGTCTGTCTTGACTATACTTACATCTGATAGCAGCCTATCCAAATTGGAGTCACTGGCAAGTTTTCTTTTATCTTCAGGAAGTTCTTCCAACTCCCCATAGAGTTCCAAATTCAAGCGAGCTAGCTTCTCCTGCATCCCCCGCACATGTTCCATCTGTTCTATGGAACACTCATTTCCTGAACAAAGCAGATTGTAAAGCTGTTATGTAAGAGTCTGACAATGGGGTAAGGAGCAAAGTCTAAGCTACTGCATATATATCTTAGATGGATTTTCATAGTAGAGGGAAAAAAGTGGTCAAATATCAGAAACAAATCCGTTTACCTTCCATAGGACTCAGTTTTATTTTTCCATGTTTATTACCGTAACTTTTTAAATAAAAGCTTCTGTCCTTGCATTTGATCCTGTATTTGGGTTATGCTGAATTTGTGATATCAATCATTTCAATGGCAAGAAACTAAGATTTTAAACAGGTGCAATGTTCTCACCCTGTTCTGAATGGAAGATCTGCATGCTGGATACAGTCCACCTCTGCCCCATCTCTAGACCTGGCCTTATTTTTCACTTAAAGTGTCATCAGACTAAACTTGGCTGTTCCTGGAGTTTCTCCTCCAGCACCTCATAACCTCTGTCTCTCAGACATGCTCAACCCCCTCCTATTTAACCAGATTATAGCTAATTGGATACCCCTGAACTAATGTATGTACTTTGCAAAAGTACCTCCATACTTCTCTGCAGGGTTGAAGCACCTGGCAGCAGGAATGACTAAGCAGAAGAACCCTGTAACCCCATGCAGAGCCCTAGAAACTTACACCTGTTGTATACAATATTATGATTCCATTTCAAGGTCAAAAAGAAGAGTAAGATGGGCTGCATGTATGAAAGCAAATATCTTCAATTAGGCCCGATCCTGCTCACATTAAAGTTAATTACCACACTTCATGAGAGCCATGGGCTTAGGTCCTAAACAAGAGCACTGAGCACTTTGATGCCATGTATGAGGCATAGGTTCTGGAAAAACTCCATTGCAGAATTGAGAGGAGATGTCACATGATATGCCTAGGTTCTAAAGGTAAGAATCATCTTCATGGACCCTCAGTCAATAGTTCATGAAACAGCAGCAGCATCTGACTATAGGCAAGAATTTGCAGTGGTAATCAATTCACCCAAAAAGAAGAAGTAGGCATAACCTACGCTCGGATTCGAAAAGCTACCCAATACCAACCCCTTTTCCTATCACCTCTGGACCAAGTAATATAGCATTATACTTTAAACAACAGTTACAGGTGAAGTTCTACACAGAAACTCTATTTCTGGCAAGATGTAAATTTGGCAAAAACAGAATTCAGTCCCCCAGCATAAAACAAAATTTTAAACTTTTTAATTTTAATTAAATATTAGCAGATATACAGTTTGAATTTGTTTCCTACTTTGGAATTTACTACTTCATTTCATAAAGGCATCTTATTTCTTGGTTACATTTCTGCTAATATTTAACATACGCAAAGTATTTTTAAACTTGATATTTTAAATCTACAAGCCAAGAAACTGATTTGTGTGTCCCATGATAATTGGAACACAATCTCTTAGCACACAAGCACTATGAAAGGGACTTTTTGACACAGCATAGACCCAAAGATAACCCTATGATTCAAAGGGTTGCTATCTCAAATGGCCAATAAAATAATCATGACCAAGTATAGACTAACCTCTTGTCTAATACAGACTGACAATCTCTCTGTAACTAGCGCATCTTGTTTGCAAAAAACCTGCTATCTTATATAAAAGCAACAGCTGGGTAAAGAAAACCCACATACTTACCGAATGCTTGAAGTTTGCCAGAGTGGAAATCATTTAGAAGGCTCAGAAGTCCCCTCTCCATCTCTTGCACATCTGATACATCTGTGAGAAAAGAGTGCTGTATTGGAGCTGCCTGTGCCCCTTTTCCTTCCCCTCCTGGAGGTTTGGCTTTTTCTTTTATTCCTCTGAGGAAATGAAAGACATGTAATTTTACAGAAGAGACTACCTTCCTCTTTTTGCTCCTGCTGAAGAAGTGCAATGAAGGACTATCCTAGAAATCAGCCTTAAAAGGACAACTGTAGTGAATGTACATACTTAACTGCACCATCAAATTATAAAGTGTGGATCACAAATTTTACCTAAATATAAAGTGATCATATTGTTAAGCCACTATCTTGACAATCTGATAATACAAAGCAGGACTCCAAGAATCTGCTTTCTTATTACCATTAGAAAGCACAGGATAATCCACACATTTTCCTTTTAAAAGTATTAAGAAAAACTTTTTGATTTCCCAATACTTTGATAGGAAGCAGACTCCTGGAACTCTACTTGGCATCAAACTAGGCCCCTGGGTGGGGAAGTAAATAACAAGGCAACCACATTCACTGAACAGATATTAAAGCAGTAACAGGTATTTCTAATGTATACATTCATATTCGCTAAGATTTTATAACTTGTCACTAGTTTTATTTTTCTTTCATAAAACTGCATGAAAGTTAGCCAAGCAGACACATTCTTAAATACTCTGCATACAATGCACGCTCATACAAGTGTGGAGAAACTCAAGTGAATTCAATCTTTTTACTCAACTATTCCATGAGTAGCTTATCCTGATGTAAATACAGTTTTGTTGGCTGAATATAACCTGCAACTACTACTTTAGTTTAGAAACTGCAATAAATTTCCATATGACCACCCCTTGTCAAGTCAGGCTAATAGCTTGGCCATCCACAGAAATGATTCATATATAAAAATAAGTTTAGGTCAAATTTAAGAACAACAAAAATATCAAAGTGACTATATTTCCCCCATATCTTGCCATATGAGGAATAATCCTGTTGTGTATTTTAAAACATTATTGAGTTGCACACAATGATAAATTTTAGTCCATTCTCAGGTCAGCTGCAGTTACTGTAGATTTCTAGAGTGGTACACCTTGCATTTTGGATAATATAATATTTCTAGAGAAAACATTTTTCCTGAAATGCAATGGAGAAAGAATATCTACTGCACTTCTGAGTGGCAGATTCAGCAAGCTCTGCCATTCTGCTGATATTGGCACCTCCACACTAGATCTCAGAGCAGCACTGATAAAGTTAACTACTACAAAGATTGCTTAAGAATTTTGTTCTCAACCGTATTCTCTACCCACCTCTGCCTACATGCATTAGTTCACTGTTTAACCTCCAGCTAATACTTTTAGGCCAATAATCCCAACTGTCTCTCCTTTTCCCACCCTCAGTGATTTGTAGAATATTAGGAACTTACCTTTTTAACTTTGGTCTTTGTGAATTTGCTTGTGGTGCAGGATTTGAAAATGCCGTACTTTTACTGACCGGCACAGAATTTTTCTTGGCATTAGCAACCTGAGTTGGGTGACTACTGGATGATTTGGGGCTCCTCCTCTTGATTTTCCTTTCTTCCATTTCCGCTGGTTAACTATTGCGCTCAGACTAATTTCTTATCTTATGGAAGGAATAAAATAGTTAAATATCCATTGAAAGGGGCAAACGAGTTATTTATTATAAAGAGCTGTAGTGATGCTCAGGCGTATTGTATAAGAGTCTAGTTTTTAAACCCCTCACAGATCAGCAGCAACTGCTTTACCCAAAAGGAAAATCTTGATTTTCAAGATAAGCTGGCAAAGCCTGTAAGAGCAGCAGAAAAAAAAAGATCACAAATCTAGAACTTCCAAGTCAGCTGGAGCCCCACTAGTAACTAAACTATTCTACTACACTTATTTTCTGTTACAGTAACTCCTCACTTAAAGTCGTCCGGCTTAACGCTGTTTCATTGTTACGTTGCTGATCAATGAGGGAACATACTCATTTAAAGTTGTTCAATGCTCCACTCTTACGTTGTTTGGCTGCCTGCTTTCTCCACAGCTGGCAGCCTCCCTACGCCCCCCCACAGCGCCTCCCGCCAGCCCCCACGCATCAGCGCCTTCCCCCTCCTCCCCTGCCTCCTGCCCGCAGAAATCAGCTGGCATTTTGGAGGGAGGGGGGAGGAGCGAGGACTCGGCACGCAGGCTCTCCCTCCCTCCCTCCCGAACATGGCAAGCCAGCTGATTGCCCCGGGCAGGAGGGGTAGGAGGGGGAGCCTGCACCAAGTCCTCGCTCCTGCCTCCTAAACGCTGCAAGCCAGCTGATTGCCCCGGCAGGAGGGAGGGGGGAGGAGCGAGGACTTGGCGCGCCTCCCCCCTCCCTTCCCTGCCTCCCGAACATGGCAATCAGCTGGCTTGCGGCGTTTAGAAGGGAGGGGGAAGGAGCCAGGACGCAGCGTGCGAAGTAAAGGGGAGGGGAGAAGAGGCAGGTCAAGGGTGGGGGCTTGGGTGTAGTGGGCAGGCTGAGGGTTGAGCCCCCCACCCCTGCTGCTTGCAGAGTAGGGGAAGCTGCCCTGGAACGTAACCCCCCCTATTTACATTAATTCTTATGGGGAAATTGGATTTGCTTAACATCATTTCACTTAAAGTCGCATTTTTCAGGAACATAACTACAACGTTAAGCGAGGAGTTACTGTACATGACTGGTGTGTACTAGAAATCACCCTTTCAGCCACTCTTACTCAATTATAGACTAAGAATAATCAGAGATGACTGAAGCAAATTGTAGTATTATACAATGCATTAATGTTCTAGAAATAACCTATATGTACCCAAATATTTAAAAAACACATCACTATGTATTTTATAACAGCAATAATGAGCTTGGTATATGGCATTTCCTGGAAATTAATGACTAGGTGGAGCCTGTGCCCCTACAGCTGTTCTTCAATCTTTATTAGTTAATTCTGTCACTTCCTCAAAGTAGTCCTTCAGCAGTTAAAAAAAAAAAAACTCACACTGAAAGCACATGGGATCAGAGTAAGAAAACTGAAAAAAGTAATAAGCCTGTTCAACTGCCACACTCCAGATGCTTTCCAGTTCTACTTTCTGCATAGAAGTAGCAGCATGAGCATTACATAAAAGCAAGCTGATATTAAATGTAGCAGTAAAATAAAAAACAGTATAACAAACAGCATTACTTCATAGTCCATCTACAGCTGCCCTATTGTCAATGGAGAAAAACAGAAGAGGAAAAAGCCAGTCCCCTTTGCCGCTTCAAACTTCTCTACTCCTCCCTCATTTTACATCGAAACTTTCCTCTGTCCCACTTGGAGTTTCTGTTATTCATTCTTTCCTTCTCATGGCCAGCCCTTATTTAGAAGGGAGCTGCCTAGCTGAAACGCTATCTTCAGGGTTGACACTGACACCATAATGCACTGACCCAAGCCTGCTGTTTTCTTTCACTATTTATAATTACTGTAAATTGATTAATAAAAATTAAAGGAATTAGGGATGAAGCAGAAACTTTGGACACAAGAAAAATCTTAACAGCCTGATTGCATAGGGGTGTCCCTGTGAGTTCATACTACGTGCCCAACCATCACAGAAACATTGGCTTCAAAAGGCATGAGAGCAAGGCCAGCAGTTCTGCAGGACACATACTGTTCTGGTGTTTTTGCATTCACAGGGTGAGTGAGACATCCTGACACTGCTCATGGATGTTGGTTGGGGCTCATCTTGTGCTATGTCTGGTGTGATGCCATTTACCCGACCCCAAACTCAAAAGCCACAAGTCAGATTCATAGGTAGGGTTGCCAACTTTTGAATCCCACAAAACCGAACACCCTACCCCTGCCCCTTCCCCAAAGCCATGCGTCCTGCCCCTTCCGCAAGGCTCTGCCCCCCGCTCACTACATTCCCCCTCCCTTTGTGGCTCGCTCTCCCCAACCCTCACTCACTTTCACTGGGCTGGGGCAGAAGATTGGGGTGTGGTAGGCGGTGAGGGCTCTAACTGGGAATGTGGGCAGGAAATGAGGGGTTGAGGGTGCGGGAGGGGGTGGGGTTGACGGTGCAGGAGGGGGCTCTAGCCTGGGGCCCTGGCTTGGGGTACTGGCTCTGGGGTGGGGACAGGGATGAGGGGTTTGGGGTGCAGCTGGAGGGTGGGGCTGAGGGATTTGGAGTGTGGGAGGGAGCTTCAGGTTTGAGGCAGGGGGAGGGGTGCAGGTGAGGGTGGCTGCTCACGGGGTGCAGGCGCGCAGCCAGGACAGGTAGGGACTAGTCCGCCTTAGCTCCACAGCACCACTGACCGGACTTTTAACGGCCCGGTCGGCAGTGCTCACCGGAGTTGCCAGAGTCCCTTTTCAACTGGGTGTTCCAGTCGAAAACCGGACCCCTGGCCACCCTATTCACAGGTGATGGGACTACAGGCGCTACTGCCCCCACTTGAAGTGGTTTCCATCAGCGATGGGTTAACAGTTTGGTTCAATGGCTCTCAGCACCCCCCTATAAACACAGTTCCACGCCTGCTCAGACCGCACCCAACCCCGAGAGCTGCACCGGGGCACGGTGTGTTGTGCATTACATGGATACACTACACGGCACCGAGCCCAGGGGCTGCTCCTGTTCCGCGGCAGCGCCTGCCCGGCAGAGGGTTCTGGGGCCCGGGCCCGGACCACGTCCCCTCGCCCCCGCGGTCGGCCCCAGGCCCTACCTGCGCAGCTTCCCGTTTCACCGGTTTCCTAGCGTCTTTAGGGAAGTGACGCACTCGTCACGTGAGAAAGCAACGCCTCCTCATACGACCTTCGGTGGGCGCGTCGTGCATTGTGGGAGCAGGAGTGCAAGCCTCCCCCCTCCGGCGCGCAGCTCTGTAGCCAAGCCTGTGCCTGAAGAGCGAATAAACTACAACTCCCAGAATTCCTTGCGGCGAGAGCCGGAAGGGAGGAAAAACCGAAACGGCCGCTCTGTGGGGGTGGGGCCAGGAGTGTCCCCCGCCCTGCCCCATTTTAAAAGGGTTTGCTCCTCTCAGTCCTCTGGCGCGTGCCCCTCGGAGGAGTGCGGCCTCGTCGCCAGAGTTACAGGGAGGGGTTCAGCGCGCCCCTCCCCAGCGCAGACATAGCTTCCATCCCGGGGCGCAAGCCCCCCGCGCTAAGGCTCAGCGCGCGGTAAAAGGAACGTGGGGGCGTGGCAGCAGCTGTCTCCCCACGCGCTGTGCGCAAAGCACTGAGAGGCGCCCAGGCGGAGCTCCCCGAGGGACACGCCCCTTACAGGCTCGTGCACAGCCCTGCCTAGGCCAGGCGTCGCCTCTGGCTCCGGGCGTGCAGCCGGCTCAGGCAGCGGGCGGGTCTGAATTGGGTCCGCGGTAGCTGCGCGGTCCGTGATTCACAGGCCCTGTAGGGGCCAGTCCTTGCCGGCACTGGGGCTGGGTGGAGGTGTCCCAGGACCCGGAACTCTGTGCAGGAGCAGGACAAGGGCAGACGCCTGTCAATTCCTTCCTCCCTTCTGCAGGTGGCAGCTCCGAGTCACACGCTGGATCTTTTAATAGCGCTGTACTCGGCTTGTAGGCCTGGCAGAAGTCAATTTTTTTTTTATAATTGTGACAAATAACATTGATTATTTTTAAGCATTTTTCTAATTTTTTTTATCCGTTTTCACAGTTGCAGGAAATTATGGAGCATAGGTACTGGAACTAAGGGTGCTGCCACACCCCATGGCTTGAAGTGGTTTCCATCATGGGTTAATAGTTTGGGTAAATGGCTCTCAGTACCACCACTATACAAATTGTTCCAGTGTCCTTGTAATGGGGGGGGTTTCCACACAATAATTGTTCAATGCCAGGACTTATTGAGATTCAAAAAATTAAAACTTCATAACCATTAAAACACACATTGTCAATGTCATGTCAAAATATTCAAAGTAAATATCCTTAAATCAAACTCTTCATAAGTTCTCAATATGTTTTTTTTCTTACTTTGATAATAACCAAAATTTATGAATCCGCAATGGAAATATTCTGTGGTTGGTTTGTGTGTATGGTGAAAATGATATTTACTGAGATTTACCAATAAAAGCAAATCCCCCTCCCCCTCCCCCCAGTCTGTTTTCATATCTGCAAAGCAATGGATTAACTTTTTAAACAAAGTATTTGTTTTATGAATAATTACTTTTCCAGTGCTACTACACTAATTGTTTCCAGCATTTCTATTGTTTTTTTGTTTTGTTTATTTTCTTGCATTTAGTAGGTCCTAAGAAGAGGAGGAGATAGGGCAGTACCAACAGGCACTCATTGCCCTAATTTAATTATAAATTAATTAAGTCCCAAAATGATTTGCAGAAGTGTTATGGCATGTAACAGTTCTGTACTTTGGAAAACTGGTAATGCCAGCTTCAGGTTGTAACCTAGAAAGTCATGGTTCCAAGACTATATTCCCCTGTTGTATCTGCAAATGAATTTTCTCTCTAACCTCAGGAAACAACCTGAACAATTCCAAGATAGCCATGAGAAGATATCCTAGCATGTTTGAATCTTAAAATGGGATGCAATGGCTACTCTGAGAAATGTGAGCACTAAAATGCCTGCAGTTACATTTTTTTTAGAAAGTCTTGGGAATCTGGTTTTGGATAATCTAAATTGTGAGAGAAGTCAGGAAAACATGTTTATTTTTAAATATTTTAATGCTGTACCTATTTCTTAGTGCACATAAATCAGTGTGATTCAAAATGAAATCTGTCCAGAACACATCACCAGATAAAGCAATCAATCAGGCTTCAGAACAAATGCTATCAGATGAACAGTAATTTCACATTCACAAAGCACTTTGGGTCTACCATCAACCCGATAGTAGTTTAGCTTTGCTGTATGAGGGATCAGTTAGAACAATTTATTTACTATATTAAAACCAAAGCACAAATAGTGTGTAATTTACTCTGGCACACTGTAGAAAAGCACAACAATCAGTGCTGCTTATTTTGGGAATCCATTTTTTAGCATACAGAGTTTCTTTGCTCTGTGTATATTGTCATCACTGCAGATGTATGGATAAAGTTACCTTAAAATAGCACTAGGGAACTTAGAAGAAAAATTAAAGTTTAAAAAATCCCTTGTTACCAGGTTAATGTAATAATTTTATTCATAATTTGAAAGTTTGTGATCTGATGGGTAGTAGAATTATTATTAACATATCTCCGTTTGTCTCCTTTATTGGTGATTTAGCAGTGCCTATAAACAAAGATAATTGAAAAGGTAATAGGCTGCTGTGAGGTTTAAATTAGTATCTGTTTTAATTGTGGAAATCTTCCTTTAAGGTGAATAAATTATGTTTTGTATAAATAGTAATTTCGCTCAGAATCAAAAACAATGTCCATATAGTTTGGATTTGATACTGAGAGCCATATGGTAGAGAACACTGTTAACTGGAGTCAGATAAAGGTATTGTACATTCAGTGAAACCTGGTATTCTTCGGATTAACTACACTGATCCACCTGAGATTTGGAGTAATTTTAGTGTTATGGTAATGTCTCAAAATCAAGCTAGGAAAAATGCATTATTGTTCCTCTCTGGGGTATTGTATCAACATCAGCAAGAATTACAACTCTGGTTCTTTGTGTTTAAAACTGATTTAATCACTGTAGCATCAAATACAAACAGTGTTTTAATAGGAACATTTTTGTTTTTCCTTCTTGTTAAAGAAGTGAAATATAAAGTTAATGAAATCTGATTTACTATTAAGTATTGTTTGCATGTAGCTCTTGTTACAAGCTAGCGAATCCTCTTTGAATTCCATAGTCCTTTCATTTTAGTATTAGGTTGGGAAATGGATGGTTAAAAGGTGACTTCACAGACTGCCACATGTCATCTTCCGTAAAATGAGAATGTGATACCACCATATTTTTATATATTATCTGATACAAAAATTTTCACATGGAGCCATAGATATCAAGGTTGGAAGGGGTGCTGAGGTTGCTACAAAATAGGAGGGGTACCTTTACAAAATCTTCCTTGCCCAGAGGGAGTAGTCTTTTGGACAGGTAAGTTCACTTCTTCATTATCATAATCCTGGTTATGTGTGGGCTAGTAAATATTGTACTTGGGCTGGTAAATGATCACGACAATGTGGCAAAGCTGCCATTATGCATAATGAAACTTACCTAAAAATAACATTCAAAGTCGCCTGCTTCTTCACTGGTTCTTAAACTGAATGATTTGTCTTTCTGTCCCACTCACTTTCCTCTTTCGTTTTAGCATGAAAAAAGCAGCCACAATAAACCTATCAGAACCACAGCTGAAACATCATGAGATTTACAGATTAGTTCATTTTTTAAAATGTTGCTTGGGATTTTAAAAGTAATAACTTTATGTACACTAGCTTAGGTAGAAATTTTCTTTAAACTATCTTCATTTTCACACTTTGCAGGAAAAAAATCTATAGGATTTAATAAAAATGTAGATCCCTGGTATGGAATTTTATAAAATGGTTTAAAAGAATTATAGAAAATAAATACTTCTCTCTTACATTCTGTATATATCTAGAGTAATTTCTATATATCTAACCCTACTGGCTTCATCCCTGCTGAATACTATAGGAATCTTTCATAGGACATACATTGAAATAATTATTTAACACTAACAGCAGCATTAGTACATTGTGGATTAGAATTGCCAGATAAATGCATAGGTCAAATAGAGCTTCAGGAGCTTTTCCCTACTGGAAATAGCAAGTGAATAAATAATGCAAAAAATAGGTCTTTAGTAGCAAAGTACATTTCTTTTTGGGGATGATGACAAATCTACTCTGAAGAAACTGTGAACTGGAAAAAATATTATCATATATACTTATGAGTTTGGTATTTTGAATGAATAAATGTATAAACAATTGGATTGGATAATTGATTTTTTTAAATGAGATTTTTTATTTAAATTGGATTTTTTATTGTTATTTAAATTACAATTTCTTTTAAAAATAAACCTGTTTAAAAATGAAATCTGATTTTAATACAAAATTTAACGCCTAAACTTATTGTAATCTGTTAAAACAC